TGTCGATAAAGACTGTGTTTTTGGTGGCCATTACATCTGCTTGCAGAGTGAGCGAGTTGTCTGCCCTTTGTTGTGATTCTCCGTATTTGAGTTTTTCCCCTCATGGGGTCTCATTGGCTTTGGACATTTCCTTTTTGCCTAAAGTTGTGTCAGAGTTTCATTTACGTTCTGATATAGTTTTCCCCACGTTTTTTCCGTCTCCCTCCAATGAGGAAGAACGCAGATTGCACTCCCTGGACATTAAGAGAGCGCTCTTGTTTTATCTAGGAAGGACCAAACCCCTCCGTAAGTCTCCAGCACTGTTTGTAGCTCATAGTTTGCCTTGTCAAGGGAAGAAGACTTCCTCGCAATGTTTATCCAGATGGATTGTGGAAGTCATAAAGTTGTGTTATGAGCTGGCGCGGAAGCCGCTCCCAGGACAGCTTCGTGCTCATTCCACGTGCGCAGTGGCAACGTCCACAGCTTTCTTGCGAGGTGCATCGTTGGAGGACATCTGTAATGCTGCGACTAGGGCTACGCCTCGCACCTTCATGAAGCACTACGCCCTTGACACGCTATTCAGTCGTCGTACGGCAGTGGGTCGAGCGGTGTTGCAGACAGCACAGATGTAGGGCCTTGGCCCCTCCTCCAGGTAAGTGTTTACTGCTTGCTAATCTCCTAAGGTTGTGAGGCACAGATACCACGAAGCACGAAGAAGATAGACAGGTTGCTTACCTGTAACTGGTGATCTTCGAGTGGTCATCTGTGCATTCACACCACCCGCCCTCCTTCCCCTCTGCTCTCGGCCCTTCATCTTGTTCTTTGAAGGCTGTTGGGCGGCGGTCAGAAGGAACTGGTGGGATCTGCGTGCCCCTCCTTGGTCATGCGCAGTGGAGCCCGGCACGTGACCTAGGAGAGGGCACAAAAATCCCTTTGGCTAGCTACCGGTACCGAGCAGGGTCAGCACAGGCGCAGACTATCCCAAGGGTGTGAATGCACAGATGACCACTCGAAGATCACCAGTTACAGGTAAGCAACCTGTCTTTCATAAGGAACAAGTGTGAACGAAGCAGACAGTTCGCTTCCATGAGTACAGAAAAGCAAACCTGTACAGGGGCGGAGGCTGGTCTGAGGAACGGCTACTCCAAGAGCGGACCAGAAAGGAGGTGTGGTGCACTTTGATCACGAGAAGCCCCCCGGTGCGGAGTGGGAGGGCAAAGGGTTAAGCACCCCCCAGGAACAGGGCAGACTGACCCAGGGCACACAACTCAGAGGGGCCATACGGCCCACTTCGGTTCACAAGACAAAACGGAGAGGCAAATGCAAAAGGTTATTTGAAGGCACCTTCATCAAAGATCCGAAAGACCTTTTAGAGGATTACCAAGAACCCAGTGGAAGGAGGTGCCGGGAGGGTGACCGGCCCGTGCGGGGGGGGGGGGGGGGGGGGGGGACCGCAAAACACTTCCTCTGCTTTCAGCCCTGTTCCTGCCTCAGGGCCTGGCTTAAGAGTTGCGAGGGAAGAATGGCAACCCTTGCAAGTGCCTTCTCTGTGATCCACAGTTACACCCTTCTTGCCTCCTCCTCGGAGGGCATGTCAACAGTCCTGTCTTACTAAAGGAGTGCTGATGGTTACTATATTCCTGGATCCCCGACTTGGGTGTTAATGCTGCCTGCATCTGTTGGTCCCTAAGTCTGGCAAGCAGGATCAGAAAAACCAAAGTGCAGAGAAGAACGAGAAACGCACCCCAAACTGTGTCTTCTTCTTCGTGAAGGTGGGTGTGCTGCAGTGACTAACCGCTGGATGCCTGGGCGGGGGGTGGGCTGGGAAGCCCCTGCCAACAGGGACAGAGGATTTTCTCTCCTCTGCCACTCTGGAATTTGCAGGCAGAACAGCTATGCTGTCACTGAACAAGAAGTCACAAGAAAACCAGCCGACTGCATGCATCGCCCCGCTCTGGAACTCCCCCCACAGTGGGAATTGGGGCCGGGCCCAGGAAGGCAATCACGGTTCCCAGCACTGGCAGATCTTCGAAAGCCCCTGGCCTCCTGCTGCCGAGAGCAGGACCTGGGCGTGCCAAGTTGGCTGGAGTCCCTGCTTGCTCAGTGACCTGAGGAAAGGGGCTGCTGAGGGGGCTGCCAACCAACTACGGCCATCTGGGCAGGCGGAGGGGGCCGGGGCCGTCCCGGGGCAGCTTTCACCTCGGAGGAGAGATGCACGGATGCCCGGCACACCAGGCGCTCACTTGCCACGCGACTTGCGTGACTCACCCAGGCCTGGCGGCTTGCTGCTCTTCAACAGCAACCCCCTCCCGCTCCCGAAAGCCAAGGCGATGCTGTGACTCGGGTGTCGGACTCACATCCGGGAGACCCGGGTTCAAATCCCTGCTCCGCCGTGGAAGCTCGCTCGGTGGCCCTGGGCCAGTCACACACTCCGCCTGGGTTGTTGTCACAATGAAATGGAGAAGAGGAGACCGAGGTGAGGCCTTTTCCGCTCTGCTCAGTCTACAGAAGCGAGGGAGAGAGGAGTCTGTCTAAGAAAATGGATGTTTTAATCAGGAAACTAAGACAAGGAATAAGAAATTGATTACAGGAGAGCTAATAATCCCAGCCAAGGGAGGGAACGTGACTATCCGCCCCTCGGAAAGCCGAGGAAGCCTGCCTTCCCGCAGCCACGGACCCACAGCAGCCAGCCCTATGCAGCCCAGGGGCAGCCCTACGGACTGGTGGCGCTTCCACCCATCCAAACACAAAGGAAGGGCTGGCTGGGGGAGGGGGGCGTCTCCCAGCTTCAGCCCGGCTGGTTGGCTGGTCGGGTGCTGCAGGAAGGCGTGGTCGGGGGGCTCCGGCTGCATAGAAAGCAAACTCGGCCTCTCCTGGCCCGTGATAGGTGAATGAGTGTAGAATCTTATAGAAAGTAGTATACATATTTATAAATGCCAAAATAAATATTTTAAGACAGGCGCCACCCAGTCCCCACACACGCGTGCACACGGGCCCACCCGCAGCGGGCCGCTTACCGAGCCGCCTCCACAGAGGAAGGGGGGGCCTCTCCAAGCGCTCGGGACAAAATATCAGCCTGGCCCTCCCCCCTTTGCCCCCCCGCCCCCACACGCACTCTCCTCACGGACACACTCCCTGGCACTCACACAACAGCTTCTCGGGCTCCACCGGCTGGGGGGGGGGGGGGGAGGAGAGAACAAAGGGGTGGCGGCGCTCAGCCACGGGCGCGGGGGGAGGAGGAATGTCATGGCATAAATACATCAACTCAGTGGTTTCCAACAGCTAAAAAGAAAGACGACCCCCGTACAGGATGGATGCCGTGAAGAGAGCGCTGGCGGGGGGGGGGCAGAGGCCGGCCCCCGCCGAGCCCTCAGGGCGAGAAGGTGGTCATCTCCAGGGAGACCCTCTGCCACAGGTCCTTGGTCTGCTTGCTGCGCTTCAGGTTCTGGAGGATGTCGTTGAACTGCATCATGCCCATGGGGGTCAGGCAGAAGGCGCTGCGGGCGCTGCGGATGGCGCTCACAAAGTCGTCGTAGTCCGCCGGGGTCAGGTGGATCAGGCGGTGGTGGATGTACTAGAGGAGAAGGAAGGGAAGGGAAGGGGGGCTGAAAGGAAGAAGGGCGCCTCCCCCCACAGACAGCTCCACAGGGGAGCCGGGCGGGAGCGCTGAGACACTGGACGTCCTCTTGGTCTCTCGGGTGCTTCGGAACTTGGATCCAGTGGCCCCCGCACCTGGACCCTCTAAGCAAGCACGTTCCCCTCGGTTGCCTTTGTGGAGAGTCAGCCCCCCCCCCCCCCGCGTCACGTGGCAAGGCAAGCCCAGGGGCCACCGCTCACTTTTCACTCAAGAAGTGTGAGAGGGGGCAGGGCACACGGGGAGAAAAGGCCTCTCCCGCTCCCAACAGGGAGGAGGTGTGACGGAGGCCACGGGGACACCATTTGGCTTAACTGGGCTTCTCATTAAGCAGGCCGGCTTCGTAATCATGGCCACGCTTTCAGAAGAGTTCCAGGGAGATACACAGTTCACAGAACCAGACAGCTGGTGAAGCAGGCAGCCGACCCAACGGGGGAGGGAGGGAGACGCGTACCTGTATGTATGCCTGCTGGCACCTCTGCACCAACTGGTGGAAGGCAGGCGTACGAAGGTGGTTGTGGACGTGGGCTGGGTTCAGCCTCTGCAGGGCCTCCATGATGATCTCCTGCAGAACGAACGGGCTCAGGACCCCTTTCGCTGCGCCCACGCAGAACTGGTGCACGTAGTTCACCCCTGCAGGAAGGGAGGGGAGTTGGGGAAGGAGGAGGAGGAAACGTCGCCCGGAGAGCAGCCGAGGGCCCGGCCAGAGCCGGAAGTCCAAGCCCCCCCGCCCCCCCGGGCACAAGACCAGCCCCTCTGCCGCAACCCCGGGCCAGCAGGCCGGCCGGCCCCGACATGCTGCTCCCCAGCCATCCCGGCCGGGCACAGCTCTCCGCTTCCCGGGTGATTCCATTGCTTCCCGCTCACATTCACCCCAGGTGCCGCCTGACCAAAAAGAAAAGCCCCCTGTATGCTCGCACGTGGCCCCTCCCAGTCCAGCTGCAGCTGCACTCCTCCTCTGGAGAGATTACTCAGGAGGCTCCCAGGCCTGCTCTTCTGGCGCACACCCAGCCTGCAGCTACGCACCAAAAGCGACACGAACCCGTTCTTTTGGGCTGGACCCTGGCCACGACTGTGTGGGGTGACAGTTATCCACCGTGGGGAAAATATGGGGTGGGAGACAGCAGTGGGGGTTCAAGCAGGCTTCAGGTCCCCAGCAGGCGCTTGCCTGGGCCTCTGCCCCCACCCCCCCAGCAGGGACGCTCAAGCGCTCACGCACACACACACAGAGTGTGGTGCCGCTGCCGGGGGCCTTACCTAACTTGGCTGCTAGCCCCAGGAGCCACTTCACGTCTTCCGTGTAGGGGGGGCTGCGCGAGAAGTTGTTGGGGTGATCATTGTGAGCTCTCCGGCCAAGCATCTCCAGGGCCAGCATCCCTGCCAGGACAGAACGCAAAGCGCTGCAGGCCGAGCGGGTTCACGCCTGCCCCCCCCCCCCCGTCCACTGCAAGACTCACCTCACTTGCTCGGCAGACACACGCCACCGCGGAGGGCAGGGCCTGGCTGCCTGTGACGGGCAGCCATCCGGCCCCTTCCCTCCCCCATCGCACGCCAGGACTGAGGCACCCCCTCCTGCCCGGGGAGCCCTGCCACAGCGGGGAGTTCACACCCAGCAGGGGCCTGCCCTGATGCCCCGCGGAAAGAGAGGATCGTGGCCCGCCCCTTACCGACGCGGTAGGCCGAGTGGAGGTAGTGCAGGCCCTGGGGGCTGACGGGCTGGCTGTGCTGCTCCTCCTCCGAGGGGAAGCCCCCCGCAATGAGGGGGGTGGGCTGAGAAGACAGGCTCGTCAAAGAAGTCCCCTGGATTGCCGGGAAGGTGGACGCCGCGTGGACGCTCCCTACTGGAGAGAAGAGCGGGCGGCATCAAAGGGCCCCGTCACACGGCCACGGCTCTCCCCGGCACTCTGCCCCCAAGCGGCAGCTCCGGGCAAATGCTCACGGTGGGGACACGCAGCCGCTCCTTGGGTCCTCTCCCCCCACTGCCCTCTTAGAGAGCCCCAGGAGGACCGGGGTGGCGGGGGGCACCCTCAAGGCACAGCTGACTCGTGGCCTCCCCAGGGGGGGACACTCCGCGGCGGTTTGCCCGTGGCCAGCCCCTGGGTGGCAACCCTGGACTTCTTCCTCAGGGGTTCCCCATCCACGTCCAAAGCCAGCCCTGCTTCGCCTCCCAGTTCTAAGGAGGCCGGGGCCATCCAGGCCGGAGCAACATTCGCTCCCTCGTGGGGCTCTCACCCCCCCACGGCCCTTTTGAGTTTCAGGACAGCCGGGAAGACCCAGAAGATGATAATCAATATGAAAGAATACATTTTAAAGATCTGGTTTTTTTAAAGAAGGAAAGGCTATGACTACGTATTCATTTCCCAGCCTCCCCCATCCAGCCTTCCTGTCCAGGCGGGGCCCCCCAAGGGAGCTGGCCAACCGCAAGCCCTTCCTGGCACCGGAGCGCTGAGCGGGCAGCACAGAGGCTGCCCCGGTCCGGGAAGGTCGGTGGGGCCCTCGGGCAAAGCTGGAAACCTCCCTGAGGTCAGAGGCCGCCTCTGCTGTCTTCTCCTGCTCAGCCGGCACAGGGGAGAAGCCAAGCGGTGCACTCACTTGCGACGTTCGAAGACAGCGAGAGCCCCGTCTCGGCATGGTAGGGATGCACGGCAATCTGGGTCATGGAGGGGACAGGCACTCCGGGAAACGACACCGCTGTCGCCGCCAAAGACGGGGTGGCGACCGAGTAGGGGTACTGTGCCCCAATGAATGCTGGGTGGACCCCCTGGACAGGAAGAGGAGCACAAGGTCAGGCTGATCCGGAAATGCCCCAAACGCAAGACAGACCCGGTCCCACTTGACGGCCCACATGCTTCTCATACTCAAAGGCTTGTTCAAAGAAGATGACGCACGATGCGGTGGCGGCACAACCCCCGCTCCGTCTGCCCGGGGCCCTCCGCAGCAGGCCGGCAGGGGAAGGGGACACGGCCAGACCCAGGCTCCCACGGGAGGGCTCCACACAGAGTTCCCTCCCCCACACCCTGCACCTTGTCATCTGAAGTGTTCAAGGGACTTCCGGGGTCAAAAAACAGAAGCGGCCCCCTCAGAACTTCATTCCGCCAGGGGCAGGGCACATCTACCGAGGCCTGCAAGCCCTCCTGCTCGGGATCAGGGAGAACGCCGGCTGTGCAACCCGAGAACCCAACCTGGAGGCTCCGGGGATCCAACCTGGGACAGTCCGGACCTCAAGCCTGGGCTCTGCTCACTGATTGCCCCAGCCACTGTTCCCTCTAAGCTGAGTTAGTGTGAGATAGCTCACAGTTTTTTAGCCTCCGGCTCACACATTTTTGTCTCAGCTCAGGAAGGATGGGGCTCCAAAGCAAACTAATTTATTCAGTGGCCAAATTGCTCACTCACAACTTTAATGCCAGTAGCTCAAAAAGTAGAATTTTTGTTCACAAGACTCGACAGCTTAGAGGGAACGTTGGCCCCGGCCCAAACACCTTGACTTGCCACAACCAGGGTGCCCATCAGCCCCTTTCCTGGTGCCCCCCCCGAGTGCTTTTCAAAAGTGGGCGTGGCCGGGCGGGGCTGATGCCCAGCGGGGACGCTGCTTCGCCGTGAAGCCTAAAGGGCCCCTCTCAGCAACACCCAGCTGCCACCACACTGCCCACCGCCAAGGTGGCCGTGGAAAGCTTCCATGGGCCTGGGATCTGGATTGGAAAAACAGGGGAGTCCTTGGATTCCATTCTTCTTGCATTCCTCCGTTCCAAACTGCGTAGCAAGAGTAGCCCCCTGAGCTGAATTGGGACAACCACCCCTTGAAGCTCGGTCCCGGTGGAAGACTTTTCCCTTTGAAGTCAAAATAATACACTCCGACACCAATGTTCCCTCTAAGCTGTGGAGTCTAGTGAGCAAAAATCCTACTTTGTGAGTTACTGGCATTAAAGTTGTGAGCGAGCGATCTGGCTACTGCATAAATTAGTTTGCCCTGGAAACCCATCCCTTCCTTAGCTAAGAGGAAAACGTGTGAACCGGAGGCTAGAAAACTGTGAGCTAGCTCACACTTAACTCAGCTTAGAGGGAACACTGTGACCGACACCCAAGAGGGCTAACTCGGCTTAGAGACGCCAATGTTGGATCAGGCCAAAGGCCCATCCAGTCCAACACTCTGTGTCACACAGTGGCCAGAAATACCAGTGCCATCAGGAGGTCCAGCAGTGGGGCCAGGACATTAGAAGCCCTCCCACTGTTGACCCCCCCCCCCCCAAGCACCAAGAAGACAGAGCATCACTTGCCCCAGAGCCCCTAGCTATACCTTGTGGCTAATAGCCACTGATGGACCTCTGCTCCATATGCTTATCTAATTCCCTTTTGAAGCCGTCCATGCTTGTAGCCCCCACCACTTCCTGTGGCAGTGAATTCCATGTGTTAATCACTCTTTGGGTGAAGAAGTACTTTCTTTTATCCGTTCTAACCCGACCGCTCTGCAGTTTCATGGAGTGCCCACGAGTTCTTGTATTGTGAGAAAGGGAGAAAAGTACCTCTTTCTTTACCTGCTCTTTCCCATGCATAATCTTATAAACCTCGATCATGTCACCCCTCAGTCGTCTTTTCTCCAAGCTAAAGAGCCCTAAGCGCTTTAACCTTTCCTCATAGGGAAAGTGTTCCAACCCTTTTATCATTCGAGTTGCCCTTTTCTGCACTTTTTCCAAAGCTATAATATCCTTTTTAAGGTGTGGTGCCCAGAACTGCACACAGTATTCCAAATGAGGTCTCACCATTGATTTATATAGGGGCATTATTATATTGGCTGATCTGTTAGAGAGGACTCGTATGTTTCCCACGGGGATAAACGTGTTGAGCAACAACCACCGCTCCTCAATCTTTCCTTGGACTCCCTTTATCCAGACAGAAAGCCATAAGAACGATTAAGAAATGTCTATTTAAGTACGAGTATAACAGTACAATCTGTAGAGCACAACAAGTTTGTTCTACTCAATTTGCTGGCATTCGTCTACCTGGAGAGCATCCCAATTGCTGCTCATATTTGATTGCTCCTCGCTGTAGCCGTGCCTTTGTGTTGTCACACCTTAATGCCCGGCCACCGAGGGTTTTGCGAGGGAGGTGTCTTACGAGACCAGACCAGACTCTGACAGAGTATGTGACTGTGGAGCTAGTAGTGTAGACACTCCCCTTGTCACATGATTTTTGAATGCAGTTACTTTTCTGAGCCAAGAAACCTTTTAATTCTCCGTTTGCCCCAAAATATAGATCATATGGAGAAGTTACCTCTTTTATTAGACGATAACAGCAAACCTATCACTCTTTTACCTGCAGAATTTTATGCAGCTGTGATAGATTTTCGCAGCCAATCAAATGGAGTCTAGTTTTTTCTATATTTTAGTCATCTGCTCAAAACTAATAAGTAAAAAAAAAAAAGGGGGGGGAGGGGGGGGGGGGGGAGAGATCAAAAGGCATCCTGTGAAAGAGACCGTCTGCTGGAAATATGGAAGAGTTACTATTAGAGGTATGCATGACGGCAACAGGACCTCACGCCCTGAAATTCTGTGGCTGGCTCTGCCTCCTGCTGCAGCCGTTTTGTGGCTGAGCCCACCCCACCATGTCGGGATTCCAAAGGGGCCGGTGGGCTCAGAACGGCCGGGGGGCTGGCCCAGGCTACCTCCAGAGACAGGGAGGGGGGAGGAAAACTCAGTCTGTTACTCACTTGGGGATAAGCCGAGCCGGGCACGGGGAAGACAGCCGGACGTGGCATGTGCTGGATCGGGTGCCCGATGTACTGAGGGCTGCACGGGATGTGGGTCTGGAGGGTGGTGTAGGGGTGCAGCCCCTGGGTGTGCGCGTGAGCCATCGCTGGCCCTGCCATAGTGTGCTGCTGGTAGATCGTTGACCCCACCGAGATCACGGGCACCACCGTTGCCGCGGCAGTCACCGCGGCGGCCACAGTCACCGTGGTGGGCTCCGAGGTCACTCTGTTGTCCGCCAGCCCGCGGACCGCTTCGCACGGCGCCCGGGCTCCGCTGACACTGCAGCCCGTGGCTCCTTCCCGCTGGGCGAGAGTCCCGCCCACAGTCTGCTCGTACAGCCAGTACCATTGGTGAGCCACTTCAAAGAGAACCTCCGGATAGACCCCGCCCCCCTTGGCCGCCTCCTCCACCGCCATGCAAGCCTTCTCCAGCATCAGATTGTCCTGCGGGAGTAAAGAGGACAGACGGTTAGGAAGGAGAGCCGATTCGCCACCTCCCTTCTCTTGCCACAGCTGAAGTTTAACTCTGAACTTCTTGGGACGGGCGACCTGGCCTGGGTCTTTCTGCTGCGTGACACTCCGAACTGCCATGTGCATTAATGGAGCTCTGTAAAGACCACACAGCCCAGCTCTCCACAGCTGGGACCCATGCGACGCGCACGCAGCTGCCGAATCCTGAACCTGACTCTTGGCCCACCCAGCTCAGGACTGCCTACTCTGCCTGAGACCCTGGAGGGCCACTGCCAAGGTTTGAACCTGGAACAAAGCAGAGCCTCCCCCACAGAGCCACGGCCACTTCCTGGAAGCAGCTTGAAAGGCGAGACCAAACACCTGCGTGCACTTACAGGAGAGGGGATCAGAGCCAGGGGCCCCCCCCGCCCCCGCCCCCCCCCAAGAGGCCTGTCTGGAAGGACTCAGGCCTGAGGACCTCTGGGCCGCTCACCTGCTCCTTGCACTGGACCAGCGCTCTCTGGATCTCGTTTGGGTTCAAGGCGTGGGCGTGGGGTAAGCAGCTCAGCGCCAGCTCAGCGGCTGCACGCACCATGTTGGAATCCCTCGCTCTGGACGCTCTGTCGGCCAGGGAGGCCACCTCCGGTGGGGTCAGGTGCCCGTCCCAGCACTCCACCAGGATGTTCAAGGCCGCGCTGCCAATCTCCATGGCTTGCCCTGGGGCGGAGGGAGGGGAACAGCTTCAACAGTGCATCCGCTGTGCTATCGGGCGGCTTCCACCCTTCCAGTCATGAGGAGAACGTGCAGAGGCAATGGGAGCTGTGGGTGACCACGGAAAGGATCCCTCTGCGGCTCCCTTCCAGGCCAGCGGTTTCTCATCTAGTGGCAAGGCCCGGCACACTGCTTGGCTTTTGCAAGCCTGGAATGAGACCGGCAGAGAAGGGCAGCTGGGGGGGAAACTGCGCACAGAGCAGCAGCCCTTGCAAAGAGCCTCTCTCACAAGCATCAGGGAAGCCAGGGGCACGGAACGTCTAGCGGAACACTGACGGCGGAGATGCCCTCCGAGAGAGACTCGGCCTCAAGCCAGACCTGGGACTCCCGGGCCTTTCCCTGCCGGGAGCATTCCTCCGCCAGACATCTCCACTTGTGCAAGAGCAACGACTTCCAAAGAGCCAAGAGGACCGGGGTCTCCCCCCCACACCCGGGTGCAAGGGACCGAGAGGGGGGCAGGCGGAAAGAAGGCCCCGGGGCCCAGCCCCAGTGCGCCAAGGAATGGAGCATTATGACTCCCGTCTGAGGAGCCCTCCTCTCTTTCCCCTCCCCGTCTGCACAACTGGAAGAGCCACGTGACTTTCACGAGCTGCCTTCGGTGTGCTCCACGGTGGTGGGAGGAGGGGACAGGAGGACCAATGTTGAAGATCAATCAGGGCCGGCCTCCTGGTCCTCCAAGCCCATGGCCAAGCATCGCCCAAAGCTCTCCCCGCCCATCACCTTCCCCTGGGCTGTACGGACTGTGCCGGCCGTGAGCTCCTGGCCCTCGGCAGCTACAGGAGGAGGGCAGATCTCCCGATGGTCCATGGTCTGGAGCCCCCCCCAGCCCAGCCCCTGCTCTCACCCGTGATCCAAGAGACGTGGGAAGAGTACGTCCGAGAGAGCCAGTTGGGGGAGACAAAGTTGTGCAGGCCCAGGGCGTAGAGCCCGATCTCGAAGGCGCAGAGGTGGAGGTTGCGGTGGGGCCCCTGGTGGCCCCCGCTGGAGGACGGGTGGGTGAAGATGGACGTGCTGCTGTTGCCCCCGGCCTTGACGAGGACCGACTTGGCCAGCTCAAAGTAGAAGTGTGCAGCAGCTTCGGAGGGCTGGTTAGGGACGTGGGGGGCATGGCTCTCGGGCCTCCTGCCCTTGTATCTGGAAGGGACCGGGAAGAGAGAGAGAGAGAGAGACGCAAGAGAGGGACTGAAACCTCCACTCTCCCACTCAGTGCCCAAACGAGGGACAGAAGGTCCCGCGGCCCAGGCTCTGCCTCGGCTCCAAAGACAGAGAGGCACCGAGGGAGGGCAGTTTGCTCTCCGCGATAGGAAGGTGTTCTTGGCCAAGTCTGCAGAGGGGCAAGGCGGGGAAAGCGAACGAGAGACAGGGCAGCCCACCACGCATACCCCAAGCCCCCCCCCCAAGCCCGCCTCCTCTTCACGGCCCCTCCGACAACGACGGAGGCAACTCCAGCCCCCGCCGGCTCCCAGCCTGGAAGCCCCCCCCCCGCTCCTCTACCTGCCGACTTCCACGGTCTTGGCGCGTGCCCCTCCACTGGCTCTCCGGCTCCCGCTGGAGGAGGAGGAGCCCAGCGAGTCGCTGGACGAGCTGCTGATGCTGTCGCTGTCCTGTCCTCTGCCCCAGGAGGTGGCCGCCCACCCGCCACGCAGGGGCCGCCGGCTGAGGGTCGGGGAGCTGTCCGAGGTGGTTTCGGGGGCGCTGCTGTCAATGCTGGCCATTCCTGAAACAGAGGAGGCCTCAGCAGGCGTGGCCCGGGATCGCGGCCACCCACTGGGAGCGTCACACCGTCCCTTGCCGGAGAGTGAAGAACACCGTCTCGCTTGCCCAGAGGCAGGGAGAGCTCCCGGAAAGCTGCCCGCCTTCAACGAGGCAGGCCACAAACTGGGTGGCCCCTGCTTTTACTAAATGTATGCGCCACCTTTCTCGGAGGGTGGCTTACACAGAGGGAAGCACGCCAGCTCAGGAACCGGCTCTCCCAAAGGTGAGATGACCTGCTGTTGCCACGAGGTGGTCGTTATGCCACTAAAAGGTCCTGGGGAGTAACGAGCCAAACGCCTCCAAGGGCCCCGTTCCTTCCCCCAGCTCCAGCACAGGGGGGGGGGAGGAACGGGGCAGTCGGTGGCTCTTCTCGTCAACTGAGGCAGGGGGACCGGAGGACAAGGAGGAAGCCAGCCACATCCCTGTGCAGGGGGAGGCTCTTCTCAGGCTGGGGAGGCTCTTCTACGAGGGGCAGTAGGCTGGCTTTATTTTTATTCTACTCATCCCTAATAGGCTCGGTGGCCAAAAACTGGGTCTCTCTGGCTTACGGCTCCCATGCGCATTTCTCTTATCATGCATGTGTGAGAGCCAGTGGGGTGAAAGAGCTGTTGAGAGCAGCAGACTCTCATCTGGGTAACCCAAAGGTTTGATCCCCCCCCCCCCCCCCGCGCCACAGGAGGTCTGCGGGGTGACCTTGGGCCAGTCCCGGTTCTCTCGGAACTCTCTCAGCCCCACCGCCCGCCTCGCAAGGGGCCCGCTGTGGGGAGGGGAAGGGAAGGCAACTGGAAGCTGCTCTGAGGCGCCTTCGGTTAGACAAAAGTGGGGTATAAAAACCTACTCTTCTTACTCGTCTTCCACAGAGCCATGACAGCGGGCCTCTCTCGTACCCAAACTCATGTGAAATAGATACTTCCCTTACGGTCAGAGGCTGCAAATGATGTTCCCTCTAAGGTGTGGAGTCTTGTGAGCAAAAGTTCAACTTTGTGAGTTCCTGGCATCCGAGTTGTGAGTGAGCCATTTGGCTACTGCATAAATTAGCTTGCTCTGGAGCCATCCTTCCCGAGCGGAGGCAAAAACGTGTGAGCCGGAAGCTAAAAAACTGTGAGCTAGCTCACACTCACTCAGCTTAGAGGGACCACTGGACCAGCGCTGCCGAGGGGGCCCATTATTAACTAGCCACTGCCCAGTAAATGGCTGTGTTCTCCCACAGGATGTGGCCCCCGGTAACAGGGCAGCCAAGAGCCCAACACTATGAAGGCCCACCTGAGTGGCCGAGCCAAATTAGTTTTTAAAAGTCAATAACAGTTTGGTACCAGCTCAGACGGTCAAAACCAAAGAACTGGATGAACCCAAAAGAAAATGTCAACACGTTTTCCCCACTGCTCCGCTGGCCTGCATTAAGGCCTCTCAAGCGGGGCGGGCAGGGCGGAGGACCAGCCCAGCTGCTCAGACGAGGGGGGGGAGGGGAGCAGAGCGAGCCTGCGAGGGAAAAGGCCCGCTCGGCTGGAGGGACAGGCCGCTCGCGGGCTGAAATTCGGAAGAGACACCAACCCATCAGCACATTGAGCCACTCGGGAAGACGGTGCAAATGCATCTGGCCAATTCCCACGGAGCAAACCACCGAGCCCTCTGGACAACTGAGCCAACCGAGCAGGGCGGCAGGCAATGTTCCCTCTAAGCTGTGTAGTCTTGTGAGCAAAAATTCTCCTTTGTGAGCTCCTGGCATTAAAGTTGTGAGCGAGCGATTTGGCTGCTGCATAAATTAGCTTGCTCTGGAGCCATCCTTCCTGAGCTAAGGCAAAAACGTGTGAGCCGGAAGCTAAAAAACTGTGAGCTGGCTCACACCAACTCAGCTTAGAGGGAACTATGGCGGCAGGCGAGTCCACCTGAGCTCACCCGTATGCTTCTTCTTCTGTCTGACTGGTGAGCCCCAGCACCGGCCATTGTAGCCGCCTCGGTTCCCCAGGGCCAGGCGGCTGGGGACTTTCCCTTCTTGTTTCAAGACGCTGGACTCCGCAGGCGGGTCGCAAGGGGACCTCTGAGGGGTCTCTGCGAAATTGAAAGGAAGAGGCAAGTTAAAGGGAAGAAACAAGTGGGGCAGGAAAGCGGGGGCATTTCAAAGCTGAACATCCTGCCCACCCGGGGCTCCCCCTTCCCCTTCAGCCCACAGAGGCGCCAGGAGACATCGATCAGGAGCAGGGAATAGTGGTCGTTCGTCCCTTACCACCCAACAGACAAAACGAGTGACATTTTTTTTTGCAACTGCTGGAGTTCTTTTTGGATTCCTGTCAGCAAGTAGATAGGCGACTACATCATAGAGATACACACACACACATCTCTCTCAAAGTGAACATGCTGAAACAGAACGCCTTTTGAGGCCAGGCTACAAAGGATACTGCAGAAGGAGATGTGCACTGGTGCTGATCTGACCCACGGGATGGGGCAGATGTGTTTGGAATAAGGTGAACATGCGATGAGCCTTCCCCTCCAAAGTGCCGAGGAGTCTGGCCAGGACAAGCACTCTCTGGGGAGTCAACAGACAGGCGGAGGAGGAGGGGAGACGATTCCCAGGGGGCACGCCGGGTTCTTAGAGGGTGGGAGGGAGGGAGGGAGGGAGGAGACCCCGGCGGGCAGAACAGGGGGCATTCCAGAGGTGCCAACACTGTTTCCTGAAGTGAAGGAAGACCGAGAAGGGGCGCACACACACACACTCCCGCCTGCAAACCGTTCCCTGAAGGTGAGGGGGATTCAGGTCACTTGTTGCTGTTTGTATGGAGCCCCCCCCCCCAAATTACATTTTAACAATGTCACGGGAAAGACGTTCAGGAACAGATCAGACTGAAGCAAATATCCAGATTCAGGGGGAAACTGACCCTAACGCCCCCCCCCCCCCGGTGACACAGCCCCTGGGGCTGTCGTACCTTGAGTGCTCTTCTCTAGGAAGGCTTCCGAGGGGCTGCTCTGGACCGCGGGGGCCACTCCTGCCTGTTGCGCCACAGGTGTCCCCGGGAGATGCTGAATGGGCGCAGCCGATTGGCTGGCGTGCTTGGAAGGAGATTTCTGATTGGCCACCGCCGGCTTGCTGGATGAGTAGAAGGAACTCAGCGTCTGAGGCTTGTGCGTTTGACTCTCTCGGTCTAACAGCTTATCCAAGATCTTTGGAGCAGGAGAAAGGGGGGGGGGAATCAGAATCTTTCATGGGGAGTCCCCAGGAGACAAAGGAAGAGGGGAAGCAGCAGGGGACACGGCTTCCGGCCTGCACGGGCTCCCCCTTTTAGCGCACCCAGTTTGCTACAGTCCAAAGATACCCCCCTGGAAAAAAGAACGCCAGTCAAGACATCGCAGCAAAGCTCCACGCGGAGTTCAGCCACGCAGGCGTGTGCTCTTCCCCCTTTCCTCAAAGGCAGATTCCTGACGTTCCCGAAGGCCTCGTGGGAGTCCACACTGGAGGGACTTGCAAGGCCAACCCCCCCCCCCCCGGCACCCTCCCCTGAGCCCGTTATCAACCCACCGCCTAGGAGTCCTTGGTACAGGCCCCGCCCACGGGGACCTTTCCCCCGGAAGTCCTCAAGTGGCCCCCGCTCGCCGAATGGTGCCCCTGGCACAGAAGGGAGAGTTCAGGGGCGGGCGGGGGGGGAGATCGCAGGCCTGACCTCGGAGGCCTGGACACTCTAGGAATGTTTGCAACTGCCAGGAAGCCTGGGAGACCGGACGTCCAGCACCTTCCAGCTCAGCCCCCGAGGCACCCTGACAGCAGACAGCTCTGACACACAAGGACAGACACTTCTTCTTCCAAGAGGCAAATTTGGGGAAGGGGGGAAGGACCAGAGGGCAGCTCCCCCTCCACACACACAAACAGGCTATGAACTCTCAAAACAAAGCCAGTCTTTCCCCAAACGAACCTGGTTGTGAAAAAGCGAGTTAAACAAAGAAAGGGGGGGGGGGGTCCCAAGAGGCCATCCAGCTCTGAGCTCCCCCCACCAAGAGACCTACTTTCTTCAGCTTCGACTGGTCGTCCTTGTAGGTGATCATGAGGACCCCGGCCAGCTCGCCCTTCTCCCGCCGGGTGCCTTCGCACAGCAGCGGGTGCTCTGCTTCGCTCACGGTGGTCTTCATGCCTGGAAGGCAGAGGGGAGAATGCCCATCAGCACACCCGCGGACTCGGCGCCACCCACAGCTGGAGCAGCGGCATCCGGGGAGGGGTGGAGAAGACTGAGCCCAGCTGCACTGGGCAGCCGGGCCGTCTCAGCGGGGGGAAGTGAAGCGGAGCACTCACCAAGCGCGGCCACGGCTGCCTCGAAGCCCAGCTCCTCGTCTCCGGGCATCTCGTTGTTCCAGTTGCGGCTCGGCGGTCGGGATCCTGTCGGAGAAACCACTGGGGGTGGGGGGGAGAAGAGAGACCCCTGGTCAGCCCATCAAGGTCCCTCCCGGCGACTCAGGCTGGCAGCAGCATTCCGGGGTCTAAGCAGGGGAAGAGGGTCTCCCTCCCACAGCACCTCCTGCCAGATCCTCCTTTAACCGGCAGTGCTGGGGACTGAACCCGGGACCGAGCAGCCGCTCTGCCTCTGAGCCAGGCCAGCGTGCAAGAATCCTCTCGGGGAGCAGAATCCCCTCTGCGGCCTTCCAAAACAGCACGCAAAGTTTTCGTCTCTAAACTCAGTTAAACTGACCTCAGGCAAAACTTGGGTTTCATTTTAGATTTCCACGTACGTCAAGCAGCCTGATGGGACCACGACCAAATGTGTTCTAAGGTGGCCATGAAAAATGGCCGGGAGCCCCCTTCCCTTTGTGATGTTTGGTACTTGCAGACTACGAAGGGGTGAGGCATTTTGCCAACGGGGAAGGATCCTTGCGGCCAGGCCGGGGGCCCAAAATGGAAGCACAAGACACCCCACTCCCCCCAAAAAAAGAAAGAGGCTGCCTGCTCTTCCAGTGCCTTGGTTAGAGCTACCACGGAACTGGACACCAGATCTGGGGATTTACCTGGACAGAACCTGTGGTGGGCGTTCTGCAGGGAGCAGGGCCATCAGGACTCAAGGAAGTTTCCAGAGATGAGACCCAATCAGCATTCCCCCAGAGATTAGCCCAAACGCTCAGGGAAGCCCCCCCCCCCCTCAACAGAGGGAGAGCCAAGCCAAGTTCCATTTTTGCCAGCAATCCCCAGGACAGTGCCAGTATCCTTCTGGTTGTTCGTGTCCTCCTCCCCCCAGCGTATTTTCCCCACGGCAAAGAGTGACTTTTCTCCACCTCAGTGGAGTAGGGGGGCGCTTTGGCAGAGCCTTGGAGGGCTCCTCTTTGTCCACAAGGAGCACCCAGTTGGTGTCTCAGTTAAAGGAGGATGCCCGGCTTAGGGCCGCCCAACGTTTTGCAAAGGGCCCCAGGTCCAAAGGCAGCCAGCTTGTGTTTGGCTGCACACTGCCCTACTGCTAGAGCTGCCAAGCCCCTGGTGGGGATGGGTAATCCCCCCCCTTTAAAAACACCTGCAGCCTGACACACTTAGCAGAAGCAACAAAGACCAGCTCAGGATAGAGAGGAGCTGCTACTGGAAGGGTGTTTTTTTAATTTGCCTTTCCTTAACTGCTGAGCTTTAGCTGAGGCTACTGTGTGGGAGGATAGTGTTTGAGGGTGTGTGGGTATGTATAGCCTATTGGAGAGTGGTGCCTGCCTGAGAAAGTTTTTTTAAAAAAAAAAACTTTTAAAAAATTTATTATTGAAGCTTATATACATTATCTTACATTAAATCATTATACAATCATTTTACCCCACTCCCTCCCCCCTCCCTCCTTGTAGTATTTTCATATTTTTAACCATGTGCACAGATTCTTCATTCGTATTTGGATATTTGGATTGGCTTCTCCCCTTTCCACCCATTCCTTATATCCCCCCCATTTATTTGTAAACTTTTGACATTTCTCCTCCCATGTCTCTTCAGTAATTATCTGTGCGAATATATCTAATTGTACGTGTTCAAAGACATAATTATTCCAATTTTCCATTGTCCATTTGTGCCTGTCCCTCCATCCCAATGCTATTACAGCCATCCCGGCTAGAACCATAATTTTATATAACTCCCGCTTATTTCTTTCCACTTTTTTGTTTCCCAATATTCCAGAAATGAGCAAATCCCTGTTGATCTCTACATTAACTTGAAATAGATCAAAGATAACCCTTACAATCTTTTGCCAAAATTCCTTAACCACTTTACATTCCCACCACATATGGGCGTATATACCCACTTCTTGGCCACAGTGCCAACACTTTGGATTCATTCCTTTAATCATGTACGCTATCTGAGCCGGAGTTCTATACCATTTCCACATAAATTTCCTCACCAATTCTTTATATCTATCTATTTTAATTTGATTTATACCGTTCATTATTTCTTGAATCACTTCCTGATGCATTAACCCTTCTCCCTCCCATTTATTCTGTATAATCCGTATCATCCTCTCCTTATCTCTTACCATCAATTTATATAATGCCCCCGCTATCCCTTTTTCTTTTACTTGTCTTCTGCTTAATATTTCATCAATTTCTGTTCTCTCCCTGCTTATCCCCTCTAATCTTTCAGATTTAACTAAATTGTATAGTCCTTGCACCTCTAACCAGTACTGCTTTCCGACTTTCTCTGAAAAATTGTTTTTTGCAATTAAAGTTCCTCCTTCAACAAACATATCTTTTAGCCAATAAAAACCGCATTCTTGTAATTTCTTCCACCACCCCATATCGGTAAATTCCTTATTTATATATTTTAATGGCATCCATTTTGAATAGCCTGGCAACCATTTCCTTTTCCAACTTTTCCAGATACCTAGAGCTATTTTCCTTGGTCCAATCGCCTTCTTATACGCCATCTGCACCTCGCCACAAAAAATCCCCTCTCTTCCTATTCTATTATTTATCTCATTTTCCAGCCTCACCCATTTAACTCTATCACTATATCCAATCTCTATTAAATATTTCAATTGAAATGCCTCATAATACAGTTCCAAATTTGGTATCGCCCATCCCATCTCTTCTTTTGGTGCATAATTTACTATGTCTGGAGTTCTAGGCCTTTTGCTTCCAAAAACCCAGTTTTTAAATACCTTATTCCATGTTTTAAACCACTTCCTCCTTATCGGGAGCGCAATTACTTGAAATAGATATAATAATTTTGGAATTAAAAACATTTTGACTGCCCTAACCTTACTTAGGATAGACAAGTTCTTATTTTTCCAAGCTCTCATATCTTTCTTAATCTTCCTCCATACCTCCTTATAATTCACATCAGGTATCTTATCCACATTTTTAATAATCTTCACCCCCAAGTATTTGATTTGTTTTCTCTTAGGGTCCATCTTTGTCATTTCCACTATTTCTTTCTTTTCCTCTCCACTTACGTTCCAGAACAATATTTCCGACTTGTCCATATTAACTCCCAATCCAGATTCCTCTCTAAAGTCTCTCAAAATAATTGAAAGTTCTCTTACTCCCTCCAATGGTTCTACTAATACTAACAGAATGTCATCTGCATACATATTTATTTTAATTTCTTCCTTACCCTTTTTATATCCTTGTATCCTGACAGAGTTTCTTATCCTATCTGCCAAGTATTCCATTCCCAACACAAATAATAATGGTGATATTGGGCACCCTTGTTTAACTCCCCGTTGTATATTGAATTGTTCTGAAACTCCATCATTCACCCTAACTACTGCTTTACCTCCTCTATATAATTCTTGGAGCACCCTCACGAACTTGTCTCCTATTCCTGCCTTTATCATAATATTCCATAAAAATTTATGTCTTATAGTATCGAAGGCCTTGTATACATCTAATTTCAATAAGGCTAATTTCCCTTTTGGCCTACTTGTTAACACGTTTATCACGTTTCGTATTGGGTGTCCAATATATCTTCCACTTATAAATCCATATTGATCTTCTTTGATTATTTTGGGAAGTACCTTTTCCAAGCGTTTTGCCAAAATCTTTGTCAATATTTTATAATCTAAATTTAATAAACTGATAGGTCTGTAAGCGCCTACCTCTGTAGGGTCCTTCTGTGGTTTTTCAATCACTACTATTTCTGCTAGTTTCCACGTATCTGGAGCCCTTCCCCCTTTTAAAATATTATTGAATACTTTTTTCATTTCTGGGCCAATTATATCTATTGTTTCTTTATAAAAATCAATAGTGAACCCATCTAATCCTGGAGACTTCTTTCTTTTAAATGTTCTAACCGCTTCTTCAATTTCTCTCAAAGAAATTTCTTCATTCTGCCTGAGAAAGTGAGGTTCCTGTTTATCTCTTTTGCCTGGCTGAACTGCAGGCTGTGTAGTTCAGCAGTTCGAGACCCGGGTGCCGCATGATGGAGTGAGCTCCCATCTCTAGTTCCAGCTCCTGCCAACCTAGCAGTTCGAAAGCAAGAAATTGCAAGTAGATAAATAGGTACCACTTCAGTGGGAAGGTAACAGCGTTCCGTGCGCCTTGGTGTTTAGTCATGCCAGCCACATGACCACGGAAACGTCTTCGGACAGCGCTGGCTCTTTGGCTTTGCAACGGAGATGAACACCGCAACCCTAGAGTCGGATTTGTCTGGCTTTCGAGCAAGGGAACCTTTACCTTTTTAAATGATTGTAGTTTTTAGCAGTTTTGCCTGGGGCTGACTGCTGGCCCTGCCCTCTGCTGGGTGAGGCTTCAATTGTGTAAGGCTCCTCCTTGCCAGAGGCACGAGCTCAAGGGCTCTTGCCCTGTGGCTCTTAACCTGGGGGTCTGGCCTAGAGGCCCTGTAGGAAGGTGAGTAGCTATTCACAAGTAGTCTTGAGAGGCAGTTTGGCAGTGGAGTTATCAGGGAAGTACAGGATAAACAGAACTAATTTTGAAATGGATTGCGGCAGCATGGCTGGTGAGGGAGCTGAGGCAGTGACGTGAAAAGTCTGTGGCATGTTCGTATTCTTACATGAGGGTAACAGCAATTGCACTTGCAGCAAGTGTAAGTCGATAGCCCTGCTGGAGGAGAAGATACAGGGATGCTTGTCCACACTCCAGTTTTTAAGGGAAGGTGAAGATTTCATGGACAGAAAACATGAAGCCCTCCTGAAAGGGCAACAGGAGGCGGAAAGAAAGGTGTCTCAGGAAATGGTGGAGCACCCAACACAGGAGGAGGGCTCATGGAAGAATGTAACTCACAGAAGCAGGAAAATCAGGAGACATTCTGGGCCTCTGTTGCTAAGCAATCAGTTCCAGGATCTCCCCATAAATATTGATTCTGGACCACTGGAACAAGGGCAACTTCCCCAGCCTCCACGAAGCTTGAAGGAAATTTCTCAGGCCCCCGTGGATGACAGGACTCAAGCTTCTGCTCCCCAATATAGGAGAAGGCATGTGCTGGCAATTGGGGATTCCCTACTGAGAGGGGTAGAGGTTAAAGTGTGCCAACCAGACTTGTCATCTCGAGAGGTATGCTGTCAACTGGGTGCACACATCCTGGACATGACAGAAATAGTAGGAAGACTCATCAAGCCCAGACATTATTACCCTTTCTTGCTGATCCGTGTGGAAAAAAAGGATACTGCCCACCACAGCCCAGAACATATTAAAAGAGACTATGTGGCTCTGGGTAAGAAGGTGAAGGACCTGGGAGTGCAGGTTGTGTTTTGATCATTCTTCCTGTCGAAGGCTGTGGCGTAGGAAGGGAAAGAAGAATACTGCAAATAAATGACTGGCTACGTAAATGGTGTAATCAGGAAAGGTTTGGATTTTTAGACCATGGCTTGCCCTTTTGAGATGAAGCTCTTCTTTCAAGAGATAGTTTGCACCTCACGAGGATAGGAAAAATGTATTTGGTAACAGCCCTGCAAACCAAATAAGGAGGGTTTTAAACTAAACCATATGGGGGAGCGAGACAGAAATTCAAAGTCTCGTATGATGCCAATAACTGGAGATAAGAACACTAAAGTTTTGCAGGGAGTGGAACCTATGCTAGATAACATTAACTCACAGGTAAGTACAGGAACGAAAGCCTCAAGGTGCATAAAACATGTATTCCGATGTCAGTCTACACTAATGCACAGAGTATGGGAAATAAGCAAGAGGAACTGGAAGTCCTAGTACAGGAAGGGGCTATGAAATTTGGTGGGATGACACTCACAATTGGAATATTAGGATTGAGGGGTACAACTTATTTAAAAGGGACAGACAAATAAGGGGCCAGATGAATTGCATCCAAGGATACTAAAATAACTTGTGGACGTAATCTCTGAGCCTCTGGCCATTATTTTTGAGAATTCTTGGAGAACAGGTGAGGTGCCAGAAGATTGGAGGTGGGCAAAAGTTCTTCCCATCTTCAAGAAGGGGGAAAAGGAGGGTCCGGGTAACTACTGACCCACCAGCTTGACGTCTATACCTGGGAAAGTTTTAGAACAAATCATCCTTGAGCATTTAAAAAAGGACGGCTGTGATTACTAAGAGCCAACATGGGTTTCTCAAGAAGAAGTCATGCCAGACTAACTGTATCCCTTCCAACTCTATGATTCTATGATTCCCTGAAAACTGCTTTTTCCATAGGGTTTCCAGTGGTTCCTAGAGCTGCCCTTTGTCACTTCTGGTCAAAACATCCAGTAAGTACATGAAGCAGGATTTTTTAAAAAGCAAAAAAAAAAAAGCAAAAAAAACACAAAACCACCCTGACCCCCACCAGTCTTCCCACCATTTCCCAGAGACCGCCTGGCAATCCTACTCATCCTCAAAGTCCCAGTAGTGCCCAGAGGCTCAATAAGGTTGGGCAGCCCTGATTTATACAGATGAGCGGTAAGCTTCCTGTCCCTTTGAACAGTGAGTCGGGCTCCGTGCCTGCGCAGCTCTCTCCCGCCTGAGAGCCGTTTGGTCTGCCAAGGATATGGGGGAATCCAATCACAGCGGCCTGAACTGGCCGTGCAGTACCCTGCCTCTGCTGGGGCCTCATCCCTCTCATGCATGCAGGCACCTGGAGACTTCTGCAATGGATTCTGCTGGCATCTGCTGCCTGAGCTCTTAGAATTTCAAACAGACCCCCCCACACACACAGTATACACCCCAAAACTTAGCCCGAGGAGCCCATTTATCCCACAGAACTCCCTGGTTTTGCCTTCCCCCACTGACACCACACCCACAGGTCGGTCTTTAAGAGTTCCTCCTCGGGGGCGTTACCTGGAGTGCACAAGACATCAAATATGAAGCTGGCCAGCATGAGCGGCAAGACGGGGCGGTAGTCGCAGAGGGTGCCTTCCCTCAGCTCTTCGGCCCTTCCCCGAATGGTGTTCATCTCGTTGGTGCCAAGCGGGATCTTCTTCAACAGAGCCACGATCTCCGACTCTTGATAGGCCAGCTTGACCTGATTGAGACACAAATTAGAGAACGGGGACCTACGGGGACCTCCCGGGGCCCACACCGCCTGCTACTCAGCACAAAGGCGCTGGGTCAGGGGACTAACGCCAAAGGGCTTCCAGCAGTGCACAAAAACCAACGGGCTGAGAGGCCACCTTCCTGTATCGAGTGGAGATAGCCAGTGGCCGGAAGCTGCCTCATAGCTTCTGGGAGTCAGCCAGGGAGACCCCGACCTTGGGGATAAAGTAGGGAGGACTTCACCCGCCTCTGCAAGGGCCCCAAGCCGGCCTCTCCGCTCAGACCCTTCACTCGCCGGACTGCTGCAACCACCGTGCCGTTTCCATTGGGAAATCGGAGGTGGGAGGCCAGCTAGGAAGGCCCTCCATGTGGGGGAAACAGCTGCACGAGCACCGCCAAGCCTCCCCAGGCTTCTGCTCTCGGGCCTTCTCGTACGCCCCCACGGCCTGGCTGCTCCCGGCCCTCTGCCCTAGACTGTGGAACAGAGGCGGACGTCCCTGGCACGGTCTCAGCCAACACAGACCTGGGGAGGACACCCGCAGAGCAGCCACAGAGCTGGAGTGCCCCCCCACCCCCCACCCCGGTCTGAGGAGAGAGACGGCTGCCGTCATGAACCCTGGGCGAGGGTCCCCGCACAGGCCGCCTGGGTCTCCGACCGGAAGGCCACGCCTACCTCCAGCGCTTTCGTCGAGGCCGGTGGCCTCTGCAGCTCCAGGGCAAACATGCCGATCTGGAACGCCAGGGTGTGGTATTCCTGCCGCTCGCTGAGCACCGTCAGCAGGACCGCCGCTTTCGACAAGGTGTTGGTTGCTATCCACGTCTGCTTGCTGGTGGAGACCTTGTTCTTCTTTCCCTGCGAGGGGAAGGATCGAGAGACAGGAGTTTGACGGGAACGGCCCACAGCCCCTGACTGGGGAGTCCCCAGCATAGTGCCCATGGCCGCCTGCCTGCACCCTTCCTGGTGCCCTCCAAGCGTCTGTGGGAAGGAGGTGGGGGGGCCGGGTGTGGCTCTTGCCCGGCAGGGCTTCTGACCGGCCACTGGAGATCTAACGGGCTGGGCAGCTTGTTTAAAGTGTGGCTTCAGCGGCAGCTGCGGGGAGACCACGAGGATCTCCCCTGTCTGATGGAAGGCAGATCAAGACGGGCGGCCGTGCGAGTCTGTCTGGAGCCGTGGAAAAGAGCAAGAATCCAGCAGCAACTCACAGACTGACAAAGCCTGGGGCAGGGGAGGAGCTTTCGTGAGTCACGGCCAATGTTCCCTCTAAGCTGTGGAGTCTTGTGAGCAAAAATTCTGGTTCGTGAGCTGCTGGCATTAAAGTTGTGAGCGAGCGGTTTGGCTGCTGCAAGGGTCAGTTTGTGTTGGATCCCCAAGCATCGAGAATAAATCCACGTTTTCAAGAAAAGCAAAATTTATTTCAAAGCGTTGGAAAGACACTCAAACACGTTCTTTGTTAGAACTGGGGATACACAGGTAGGGCAAGCATAATAAAGGAAATTCAAACAGACACAGATCCAATGAATAACATTCCCGCTGGCGGGCTAAAGAAACGGTTGCGCGCCCAGTCCATGAGAACCAGGCAGAACATCAGACAAAACACAGGTGCAGTTCCCAAGCGATAAGCAGTGGCAAGCATTACAGCATCCTCTCCTCCACAAACCCTCCAGTAGATTATCTTAGGCATTCCAGCATAGAAGCAGAATAACAAGCCGGGTGCAACAGGGGAAGGATATGTACCCAGAGGTCATAGAAACATAATGGCAGCTTGCTGACAGTTTGCTCTGGAGACTTCCTTCCGGAGCTGAGACAAAAATGTGTAAGCCGGAGGCTAACAAACTGTGAGCTGGCTCACACTAACTCAGCTTAGAGGGAACACTGGTCACGGCTCACTTCTTCGGATAAGAAGAAGGGAGCCGTGACTCACGGAAGCTCATCCCCTGCCACATAGTTTGACCGAAGGTAAGTGGTGTCAGAATACCAAAGGTGCCTGCAGGCTCAAAAAGATAGGGGACCCCTACCCCGCCTAATGGAACCCTGGTGCAAGAACAGCTCCCCCCTTCAAGCATCGTCAAGACCATTATCCGCACCATTTAGCGGTACCACAGTTTCCGTTGCTTCCGCTTGCCCGAGATCCCAGGTCTCACTGTGCTCAGCTCATAGAATCATAGATTCATAGAGTTGCAAGGGACGTCCAGGATCACCTAGTCCAACCACAGTGCAGGAAATTCACAACTACCTCCCGTGCACGCACACACACAGTGACCCCCCTGCTCGATGCCCAGAAGATGGCAAAAAAAAACAAAAAACCCTCCAGGATCTCCAGCCTGGAGAAAAATTGCTTCCTGACCCCAAAGTGGCGATCAGCATTTCCCTGGGCGTGTAAGAAAGGGCCACAAGAACTAAGCACTGAGGCAACCCTTCCTGCCCTCCCTCTCGTGATCTGCCTGAGTTCACAGAATCCGCATTGCTGTCAAAGGGCCATCTAGCCTCTGTTGGAAAACCTCCAAAGAAAGAGAGCCCACCACCTCCCGAGGAAGCCTGTTCCGCTGAGGAACCGCTCTAACTGTCGGGAAGTTCTTCCTAATGTTTAGCTAAAAACTCTTCTGATTTAATTTCAACCCGTTGGTTCTGGTCCGACCTTCTGGGGGAACAGAAAACAACTCCACACCATCCTCTATAGGACAGCCCTTCAAGTACTTGAAGATGGTGATCCTATCACCTCTCAGTCGTCTCCTCTCCAGGCTAAACATACCCAGCTCCTTCAACCTTTCCTCATACGACTTGGTCTCCAGACCCCTCACCATCTTCGTTTCCTTCCTCTGGACATGTTCCATCTCGTCTATATCCTTCTTAAATTGTGGTGCCCAAAAGTGCACACAATACTCCAGGTGAGGTCTAACCAGCGCAGAGTAAAGTCATACCATCACTTAGCGTGATCTGGACACTACACTTCTGTTGATACAGCCCAAAATCGCATTTGCCTTTTTAACTACCGCATCATACTGCCGACTCATGTTCAGTGTATGGTCTACTAAGACCCCTAGATCCTTTTTGCACATACTACTGCCAAGACAAGTCTCCCCCAACCTATAATTACACATTTGATTTTTCCTGCAGGACTTTACATTTATCCCCATTGAAATTCATTTTATTTGTTTTAGCCCAGTTTTCCAGCCTGTCAAGATCATCCTGTATCCTGACTCTTCTACCGTATTTGCTACCCCTCCTAATTTAGTGTCACCTGCAAATTTAATAAGCATTCCCTCTATTCCTGCATCCAAAGTATTGATAAGAAGTTTTTCCGGTTCCGGTCTGTGATTTGCAGTGGATGCGCCAAAAGATCTCTCCTTTTTCGCAAGTTTTATTGGTTTTATCAACAACTTGTAACTTTTTATCTTGTGTGTAAACTCTTTTACCTCTTGCATCATCTATTTAATTTGTTGGCTCTTCTCTGCTATTTTTAAAAAGAGATAAGAAACCTTGCTGGATTTTTGTTACTAACAACGCATCCCTCAGCTTTTATCTTGATGTTTTTTGATTTATAAGGACTCTACCGCCTTAATATTTTATTTTAATTAACCCTGAGTGACTCCAATTTCTCCTTTACTTGCAACTTTCCTGTTCTGTGGCATTTTCTTTTTTCAAAATATTTTACTTTGCTTTTAAGTCTCATAATACAAGTTTATACAAAACATCATAACAAAGGAAGGAATAAAATTTAACTAATTTATCAAGAATAACTGGGGAATGCCACAGAAAAGAGGAAGAGACGTTGAGACAGACTCTTCACCAGCATCCCAAACAAGCAAAACCTGGTGACTATTTTTTGGCTTCCTGCAATCCACAGTCTCAAATTCCTGCCTCTAATCGTTTTGCTCCTCTGGCAGAGGCTGCTGACAAAATGGTAGAGCTGCTTGGGTCTTCTGAGCAAGGAGTTTCTGCTCTCCTCTAGGAGCCCAAAGGAAGGAAGTGGGAAAGTATCTAATGAGGCTTTAGAAGGTCTTATTATGCTTACAGCCAGGATAGTGGAACATATTTACAGAGAGCATTGATAAAGATGTTGGAAAAAACAGGTCCCGGGCCAGATCCTTAAGGCACTCCACTGGTCACTCCTCTCCAGGAGGATGAGGAACCATTCACAAGCACTCTTTGGGGGCAATCTGTCAGCCAGCTACAGATCCACCTAACAGTCATAGGATCCAAACCACATTTTGCCAACTCCTCAACAAGAATATTATGTGGAACCTTATCAAAAGCCTTACAGAAATCAAGATAGACTATGTCTACAGCATTCCCCTGATCCAGCAAGGTAGTCACTTTCTCAAAAAAAAGAGATAACGTTAGTCTAACATGACTTGTTCTTGAGAAACCCATGCTGGCTCTTAGGAATCACAGCTGTCCTTTCTAAATGCTCAAGGACTGCCTGCTTGACGATTTGTTCTAAAACTTTCCCAGGTATAGACGTCAAGCTGACAGGTTGGTAGTCACCCGGCTCCTCCTTTTCCCCCTTCTTGAAGATGTGGACATTTGCCCACCTCCAATCTTCTAGAATCTCACCTGTTCTCCAAGAATTCTCAAAAATAATGGACAGAGGCTCAGAAATTACATCCGCAAGATCTTTTAGTACCCTTGGATGCCGTTCATCTGGCCCCGAGGACTTAGTTTCATTTAATGAAATTCGGTGTTTATGTACTACCCCCCTATGCCGATCGTAGGCTGCAACTCTCTTCTCTAATTATGTGTTCTGTTTTTGCCATGTTGAGCACTGTTTCTTTCACAAGAGAAGACAGAGGGAAAAGTAGAAATCGAGCAGCTCTGACCTTCTTTCTTCATCACCCATTACAATTTCAAATCGCAAGATGAGAAATTCCAGGCCACACAAGCTATACTCGCTCAGCCCATCTGAAAAATCAACACACTCTTTACATGCCCTACCCCCACTCCCCCCTCTCCTTGCGCTGCAGTAATACAGGACAGGTTTGTCCGACCCCTTCCACTTTGACACCGGGGAGTACAGTGCCACGGTCTGAAGGACCTCTACATGCCCTCAATGGCCCTCATTGCAACTCTTACTTGCACCATTTTCTGTACTTCCGCCTACATGCCTAACATGCTGGGGCACGTTAAAAGAGTCTTGTTGTTTGTCTGCCTGAGCCAAGCGGACAGGGAGCTCCTTTCAGAGAGCCTCACTTCAGAGGAATTGTCTAACCCAAGAGGCGCCGTCAGCGGCACAGGAAGGGGCTTATCCAGCTGCGACAGACAGGACACCTAGAGGGGGAAGTCAGCCCATCTGAGTTCTTGATGCTTCTTTCTCTTCCGTTTTCTGCCAAGGAAATGAACTTGGGGGAAATATGTCCAGCAGCGGTTTCGATACTCCCCCACCCCGGCCCCGATCCTGACCCCCGTGCTAGGAGAGCTGCATCCCTATCAGGAACCAATCCCTATCTTGGCTTTCCAGTGGAGGAATGAATCCTGGACGTAGACCCACAACCAGTGTTCCCTCTCAGCTGAGTTAGTGTGAGCCAGCTCACGGTTTTTTTAGCCTCCAGCTCACACATTTTCGTCTCAGCTCAGGAAGGATGGGGCTCCAGAGCAAACTAATTTATGCAGCAGCCAAATCACTCACTCACAACTTTAATGCCAGTAGCTCACAAAGTAGAATTTTTGCTCACAAAACTCCACAGCTTAGAGGGAGCATTGCCCACAACTCTTGCCCATGTGAGCGCTGTCTTAACCAATGGACTCAAAGCCCTGGTACCACCCTAGCCAGCCACGTCTCATCGGGGGTGTTGAAGCACCCTTTTCATTAACTTGCTCTAAATGCAGAGCTCACGTCTTAAGTCAGCTGCTTCCATTAAACCCCTGAAGACATTTCCTTTTGGGAAACTGAGCCGTTTGCCTCTGGCCTCGTGTCCTCCACAATGTTGGAAAGGGAGAAGGGGGCAGCCACAAAGGGGTCTTCTTGAGGCTCCTGCAGTTCCCTGTGGTCCCGTGTGGTTTTGCCTGGCTCAGCACAGACGATACTGAAGGGATCTAGGGCCAGACATAAAGTCCAAGTAAGTACCTAGCATTATTCCCTCTAAGCTGAGTTAGTGTGAGCTAGCTCACAGTTTTTTAGCCTCTAGTTCACACATTTTTTGTCTTAGCTCAGGAAGGGAGGGCTCCAGAGCAAACAGATTTATGCAGTAGCCAAATCGCTCCCTCACAACTTTAATGCCAGTAGCTCACAAAGTAGAATTTTTGCTCACAAGACCCCACAGCTTAGAGGGAACATTGGTACCTAGTTCTTTCCTTGTTGTAGTTCTAGAATCTGAATGGGACTCTGCTAAGAACAGGCCACCCCTTTTGATAATGGTCCCCTCTCGTTTCTTTCCTTTTTCAAACTCCTTGCACACAGACCTGAAAGCTGACTATCCCTGGGAAAATATGGTGAGCACCAGCATCTCGAGAAAGTGGCTCATGCTCAGGGTCCCAGGGGGGGGGGGATAAGTAAAGAATAAACAGTGATTCACACATTTGTCTCTCCACCACCAGACATCTCCCCTCAGAGGCTTTTCTTAGCAAAGGCACAAACAAAGCGCAAAGCGGCACAGACAGGGCTATTTTTGGGCAGGAACGCACAGGAACGGAGTTCCGGCTGGCTCCTGAGTTGGCCACGCCCAGCAGGAACTCATTACATAATAGGCCACACCCAACAGCAGAAACTCATTAGGATTGGCTACATTAGGGGTGTGTGGCCTAACATGCAAAGAAGTTCCTGCTACAAAAAAAGGCCCTGGGTTTGGACAACAAACAAGGTAAACAGAATAAGAAGCAAAAGGTGGGTGTGGCTGGATGACCACACTTCTGGTAACATGGGGGTGTGGCCTGATATGCTAATCAGATTGCTGTCATGGGTGTGGCCTAATATGCTAATGAGTTCCTGCTGTTGGGTGTGGCCTATTATGCTAATGAGTTACTGCTGGGCTTTTTCTACAAAAAGAGCCCTGGGCACAGATATACGCAGAACGCAGCAGGAAGCGGCGGAGAACCCCCTTGATTGCACCGGGCTGCCTGAATGGGAGCTCAGAGGTACACAGACGACAACCGGCAGCGGCCACCCAGCGTCAGACCCACCGGCCTGCCAAGGTCAATGGCGTCTACTCAGCAACCGGCAGCCGCTCTCCAGGGTCTCAGGCTGAGAGGTCTTTCACAGCACCTCCTGGCATCTGGTCCTTCTCACTGGAGGTGCCACTGGGGCTGGAACCTGGGACCGGCTGCAGGCCCAGCAGATGCCTGTGTGTGTGTGGATCGCCTGTGATTCTGCACAAATGGCACAGAATTCAGCATTGGAGTATCTCAAATTTCTTTTTTCTTTTTTTTAAACAAACAAATTTCTCGTCTAGATTTCTGAAACCTTCAATCTCAAATTTCAAATAATACAGATAACGTGCAAATAGGTGATATCTATGACACGTTAATTGCAACATTTCTTGAAGAACTCTTTAAAATGAGTCGATTAAGGCGGCTTCACGAGCCATACTAGGTCAATTCATGCACAGCGACCCTGTTACTGATTTCCATTCGGACGTGCAGACAGAGGATGTTGCCGCTCAGAAATATCTACGGGGCACCCACAGACCTTGGTCAGGGGCTGCTCCACCTTGAGGTCGGGAGGATTGGCCAACAGGTCCTTGGCGAGTTCAACGGTCAGGCGGCAGGCCTCGTTGCTGTAGCCGTGGGCATAGAGTGCTTCTGCGCAGGCAAAGAGGATCTGGAAGTGGAAAGGTACAAACAAATGAGGTGCCGCCTTGCTTTGCCTTCACATCACCAACAGGGGAGATTTGACCACGGGTGGTCAAACAGGAGGTCACGTTTTCCATACTCCCCTGAAGCCAGACACGTCTGCGGGGACAACGCGAGTCCCCACGTGGACAGAGACCCGCGCTTACCTCCATGCGGCTCTCCTGCTCCAGGGGCTTTATGCCAGCAAAGACGTCCTGCTCCTCTTCTGTCCCTCCCTCCGCCTTCTCCTCCTCTTCCTTCGCAACCTCCTGGGGGTTCAGATAGTACACCTGATAGTCATCATCGTCCTCTTCTCCTCCAGCTGCACCATTCTCCCCCACTTCTTTAGGTTTCAGACTCACCCCACCACCACCACCACCACCACCACTCTCGTCTGGGCAAGGGAAGTCGTCGTCTCTGCCGCCCAGCTCCCCCACGGGGTCCTTGGGGGTCTTCTTGGCGGACGGACTGCTCCGGAGGGTCGGGTCAGCCGCTTCCGAGAAATACACTCCCCCCTCGTCCTCGAAGGTGTCCCGGTAGCCCCGGCCCAAGGGACTCTCCGTGAAGCTGAACGTGTTGCTGGCCTCGGCCCCAAGGGCCAGGCTGCTGTCGTCCAAAGTCATCTCGGCCAGGTCCGGCTCCAAGGAGCTGTCCTCGCTGCTCATGCGGCGCTTCCCGCTGTGCTTGCCGGCCAAACTCTTCCCCGCCGGGACCTTGCCCTTGTTCGCAGCTGGCTTGTGGGCAGCCTTGTCGCCGTCGGCCGAAAGCCGCCTCAGGACACGCTGGGGGCCTTCGGGGACAACCTTCCGCTTCCCGATGATCTCTTTCGGGCGCACTGCTGGCTCCTGGGAAGCAGGGCGGGACCTGTCCCCTAACTGCAAGCAGGTCCCCACGGCCTCCTGCCCGGGCACTCTCCCTGCCTCACAGAAGGCCTCTGCACACTGGGCCCGACAGCTCCGCTGCTGGATGGCTTTCACCCAACAAAAAGAGTTCTTTTTGTCGGCGCTGCTGTACGTGATGCCAGGGATGGGATAGGCCTCCTCCCAGTTGAAGTAGCAGGCCTCCACCGCCGGCTTGAAGCCTTGGAACAGCTTCTCCAGGGATTTCTTGTGCTGCCCCCTTTTGACGTTGTCGATGACCTTCAGCTGCCACAGCCGGAGCTGCGCGCACATGTCCCTTCGTCTGGCATCACACGGGAGGAAGGGAAGAAAGGGAAAGGCACAGGTGAGCACAGAGGCAATGCTCCGATTCATGGGTGGCTTACTAGTCACAACCTCACTCCTCTCGTGTTCTGCTAACAAATTAACCTTAACTTTAAGTGATGAAGCCGCACCCTAAACTCAGACCTCTTAATCATACCTCTACTGCCTGAGTGGTTTTAGACATCCCAATGGGTCACACTTCTCCTAGATGAATATAACCTTCTTATCTAGGTAGCCAGGGATCAAATCCATCCCAGCTATTGGTTCCCCTCTCTCCTATCAGGCGAATGCGTGGGGGCCCTTAGCCAAGAGGCCACGGCTGTAACGGAGCCACGGCCAGAGCGTGGGGTGGCAAAGTCACTTCCGACATTCCAATGCTTTGGGGGCAGAACTTTCAGGGCAATCAAGTGGGGACCTGCAAGGGCTCGCAGGAGGCATCTCATTTCCCCCTCCCCCACGATCTCCTCTTCCCCTTTCCTAAAAGCCCCCACAGCCTCTCGCCTCCCGTGGAGGAAATGGCTGCTTTGGCGGCTGGACATGTTTGGCATTATACCTTTCTGAGGTCCCTCCCTTCCTCAAGCCCCCCCCCCAGTCTCCAGGTATTTCCTAACCTGGAGTTGGTAACCCTATCTCCTTCCCACCCAACAGTCAACCTCCATTATCGGCCAGGATAATCCAAAACCTCCAGGAGTTTCCCAACTTGGTGCTGTGAACGCTAGGCCTGGCCCCAATGAGTCCTCCCTCAAAAGCCTGGAAAAAAAACCCTGTTCTCTCCCCCTGCCTTTTTACTCACAGAAACCCAGTCTGGAATACGGTGGTTGCCTACCAACAGCCACTGAGAGAATATGTTTGTTAAAGCTACAGGCACTCCTTTTATTATTTTCAGGCTTTTAAAAACCCAATGTATTTTTTTTTTAGATTTCATATTTTTGTACAAGCCTAAGGCCAATTTCAGGTCTGTAGAAAGATCTGTCTTGCTCATGCACAGCCACAGTCATCAGATTTAAGTATCCTCAGATTGGGCCAATTTGCCTATCAGTATACAGATTAAAAATGGGGTGAAAATGAATCTCTGTTCACAGACTGACTGCCTAGACAGAGCCCTCTGCAGCTCCCTTGAGAATTACTGGACCTCCCAGCCTACCTGTGAGGACTGATGGTTGGATCCAAGACAGCCAGCCTCCAGAGAACCACCATCTCGTCGCACATGCTTGCGCAGGCGTGAGCAGCCACTTCTGACTGGCCGTTGCTTCGGCCGGTGTGCCCACTGGCACTGCTGTGGGACGCAGATGTCCTGACGCTGTACCACCATCCAGTTATCTATACAGAAAAACAGGTTGCTCACCTGTAACTGGTGATCTTCGAGTGGTCATCTGTGCATTCACGCCTCTGGGATATAGTGCCCCTGCGCCAACCCCAATCGGTAGAATGGAAAGCAAAAGGGATTTTCGCACCCGCTCCCCTGTCATGTGCAGGGCTCCAGTGCGCATGACATGGGGAGGGGCACGACAATCCCGCCAGTTCCTTCTGGCCACTGCCGTCAGCCACAGAATACAATAGGACCGAAAGCAGAGGGGAAGGAGGGCGGGTGGTGTGAATGCACAGACGACCACTCGAAGATCATCAGTTACAGGTAAGCCAACCTGTTTTATCTTCTTCGTGGTCTCTGTGCATCACACCTCTGGGAGTTGTTGTTGTTGTTCAGTCGCACAGTCGAGTCCGACTCTTCGCGACCCCATGGATCATCTCCCGCCAGGCCCTCCTGTCTTCCGCCGTCCTCTGAAGTTGGCTCAATTTCATGGGAGAGTAGGAAGCAAAAAAACACGCCTGCCTGGAGGAGGGAGCGGGAGGTCCTCAAAGGCACCGCAGAGCGCCGATGAAGACGTACATCTAGGGCGTAGTGTCTCACAAACGTGTGAGGAGTGGCCCAAGTTGCTGCGTTGCAGATGTCATGTAACGACGTACCCTTCAGGAAGGCCATGGACGTGGCCACTGCTCATGTGGAATGCGCTCGAAGTGGCCCTGGGAGCAGCTTCTTAGACAGCAGGTAGCAGAGCTTAATAGTCTCCACAATCCACTTGGGCGTTGTGAAGACAGCTTGCTCCGGAGCGTGGGCATGGCACAGGAGACAAAAAGGGACAGGGACTTGCGAAAACCCTGCGTCATGTCCATGTAAAAGAGCAGAGCCCTTTTGATATCTAATGTGTGAACCGGAAAGAACACAGGAAAAACGATGTCAGCTTTCAGATGGAACTCCGATACAACCTTGGGAAGGAAGGAGACGTCCGGAGCTGGGGTGCCACCCTCGTGGTGAAAAACGAGGCAAAGGGGGTCACAGCGCAGAGCCGACAGTTCACGCACCCCGCGTGCTGATGCAATGACCACCAGGAAGGCCGTCTTCCACGAGAGAAGCTGTAAGCTGCATGTGGCCATCGGCTCGAAAGATTTCCCCAACAGGTTGGTTAACACTAGAGGTAAGTCCCAGGCCGGCGTGGGGAATCGCAACGGGGGGGGGGGGGGGGGGACCCTTTGGAAAGAGTGAAAACTGAATAGCCATCCACTGGGGGGTGGTGAACAGAAATAGCTGCCAAGTATACCCGCACCAAGGAGCTGCGGTGGCTCAAGTGGTTAAGACGCTGAACTGCAGGCTGTGGAAGGTCAGTAGTTCAGCAGTTCAAGACCCGAGTTGCCGCATGACGGAGTGAGCTCCCGTCTCTAGTTCCAGCTCCTGCCAACCTAGCAGTTCGAAAGCAAGAAATTGCAAGTAGATATATAGGTACCACTTTGGTGGGAAGGTAACAGCATTCCGTGCGCCTTGGTGTTGAGTCATGCCGGCCACATGACCACAGAAACGTCTTCGGACAGCACTGGCTCTTTGGCTTTGAAACGGAGATGAGCACCGCAACCCTAGAGTCGGACTCGACTGGCTTTCGAGCAAGGGAACCTTTACCTATACCCGCACCAAGGCATAACTGAGACCTTGGTCTAAACGGGACAACAGAAAACCAAAAAACGGCAATGAGGTCCAAAGGAGAAGGAGGCAGGCCAACCTCTTAAGGTAGGCCAAGAACATATTATTATTATTATTATTATTATTATTATTATTATTATTATTATTATTATTATTATTATATTACATTTGCAACAGTTTTGCAACAGTTCAATAACACAAGGTTTGCAACAGTTCAATAACACATGGTCTACCCTATCCTGCAGAACTTTCACACGATCCTCCATGCTGTGAGTTTGAGATGAGGTACATTGTGGTATAGGACCATATCCTCCTGAGCAAGAAGAAGATCCGGCACCGTTGGGAAGTGGACGAAGGAGCCCTTTGACGTGTGGAGCAGGGTGGGAAACCAGTGCTGTCGAGGCCACCGTGGAGCCACCAGGATGCATCTGGGAGCTTCCCTCAGTATCTTGGTGAGCACTCTGGTGAGCAGGGGAATAGGTGGGAACAGGTACAGGAACTGATGGGACTAAGGGTAGAGAAAACTGTCCCCTAGAGAGGGAGGGTTCATTCCCGCCCTTGAGCAGAACAAGCGACACTTCTTGTTCCGCCTTGTTGCAAAGATGTCCACATCTGGATGTCCTGTCGAACACCAACTGGAGATACTTCCAATTGAGTTCCCACTCATGTAGAGACACTCCCCCCTGCTCAGGAAATCTGCAGTCACATTTAGGGAACCCGGAAGGTGGACTGCCACCAGAAATACATTCCACCTGTCTGATGTTCTCCGCTCCCACGCATGCAGGTACGGATGGAGGCGGGTGGAATGCGGCAGGCCGGGTGGGATAACAGAGTCAAAGGCTCTGCTTAGGGGCCTTGGAAGCCTTGGCCCTGGATTGAGTAGCAGATGGAAAGCGAGGCTAGTTTCCATATTGGCGGGAGGATGCATTCGGAGATCTCTGCCATTGTGCCTCAGGGGACGACTTCAGGGAGGACCTGCGCGACCATGACTTGTTCCAGGATTTGGACCTGGCTTGTCTGGAGGCCGGGGAAATTCCCAAGTTGTGCGATATCTTAATAGTCTTGTCTAAGTCTTGCAGGACAGAGTCTGCTGTGGAGTTGAACAAGCCTTCTCCTTCAAAGGGGAGATCCTCCACACAAGCCTTTGTATCCTGTTGCAAGGAGGTGGAGCGCAACCAAGCATGGCGTTGTAGGGCAACCGCAGAGGTAAGTGTTCTAGTTGCCACATCCAAAATATGCTTGGCTGCGTTAAGTTGGTGTTTGGCCAGGAGCATACCCTCCTTCTGGATTCATCTGGCGTGACGATTAAAATCCTCCCGAAGGGAAGTGATTAATTCTGATAACTGCTCCCAAAGGGCATATTGATATCTGCCCATACAGGCAGTGTGATTGGAGGTCTTGATATCCAGCGCCCCAGCCAGTAAAACCTCCTCCCGAAGGAGTCTAACTTCTTCCCTTCCTTATCAGGGAGTGAAGACTGAGTGCGTCTGCCCTTGGAAGATGAGTTCACTACCACCGAATTTGGTTTGGGGTGAGTGAACAAAAACTCAGTGCCTGGCTCCTGGACCTTACACATATGGTCGATCCTGCAGCTAGAAATGGGAGTAGAAGCCGGATGCGCCCACTGAGCTTTGGCGGCTTGCAGCAGGACTGATGTCATGGGAAGGGCGACAGCTGTGGAAGTGTCCATTTGAATGATGCCGAAGACTGAATCGGTGACTGTCGATGGAGGTTGCACCATAGGCAGCGCCAAGGTATTAGCCATCCGCATGATGAGCTCCCCGTAAGATTTCAGATCTTCGGCGGGAGATATAGGAAGGTCCTCCGACACCTCTTGTGGTGGGGAGGGATCAGCTGGGTGCTCTTGGTCCTCATCCCCAGAATGCTGCGAGGAAATTGAAGAAGCAGAATGTTCCGAAGGGTCTGAGAACGCCGTGGGAAGTTTCGGTACCGATTGAGTCGGTACCGAGTCTGTGTTGCTGGAGGGGTCTGCTTATGTCACTTGCCTGTCGATATCGACGGTTGAGGAGGCAAGAACTCCGGTCCCTGTGGGGGTTCTTGGTATCGGGATAGCCGAGAAGAAGCAGACTGGCGATCCCACTCTTACTGGCATATGCTGTGGGAGCCAGGGCATAATGGCTGACGGGGGATACGCCCCATACAAAAACTGCCACTGCCACTGATCCCAAGGGATCGGTGGCGGAGGACACGATCCCGAGGGCCGGTTCTGGTTGTCGGCTTGTGGGCGACGTGGGGAGGGATGCGTAAACACACGAGTTCCTTGGCCCAAGTGGAGGTTCTTGACACTGGAGGATCGGGAGACTTGGGTCAAGTCCATGTCCTGCTCGGAGTCAGTAAGCTGAACGGGACGCAGCAAAGGTGAAGATGGTGCACCTTGTAGCTGGCCACGGCCCGTTGAGTCAAGCGAGGCGGCCCCAGGTACGGGAGTTGGTTCCGACTGTCGACACAGAGTCGACGGAACTTTACCAGGAGAGCCCTCCTTATGTTTCTTATGCTTGACAGGCCTCCGTGCCCTCCCGGCGTTTTTGACAGGAGTATGGGCTTTGGACTGAGGGGTCCCAACAGAGTGTTTCAGCATCGGTCGGTCAACATCGGTGTGAGCCGGTATCGGGGACTGAGTGCCAGTCGATCCCAAGGTGGTCGTCGACATCGAAGCATGCCCGGATGTGTCTTGAGACGACGCCATCAGTGAATGGGCTAGTTTGAGCAGAGCGGTGCGAAGCCTAGCGGCCCTGTTCTTCCTGGTTTGCCTGGAGAACTTCAGACAGAGGGCACACAAGTCCACCCCGTGAGCTTCCCCGAGGCACGAGAGACAAAGGGAGTGTCTGTCGGGGTGTGTGTGTGTGATCTTACTGCCACACCTCAAACACTGCTTGAAGAAGCACCACCATTTGGCCATAGGCCGGAGGCAAAGGGAGCCCACCAATTTATTTATTTTTTTATTTTTTCATATTTATATCCCGCCCTCCCCGGTGGGCTCAGGGCGGCTAACAAGGGCAGGCCGTTGCCATGCCATATATAAAAACATGTAAAAACACAATAAAACATCCAGCATTAAAACCACAGTACTCAATCTATTACTAATTTCCTAAATCCAAGATGGTAAGTCCACAGTTACAGATGGTACTCCCCTGGTGTACATGCCCAATGACGACGGCATCAGATCTTCTACAGTTTCCCGGTTCTTCCTCGGACCTCGTCGATGCATCCTTTAAGATACCTTGATGGTGGTGGTATAATGGGGGGGCGGCTCCTACTCAAAGGCCTGGCGGAAGAGCTCCGTCTTGCAGGCCCTACGGAACTGCATAAGGTCCCGTAGGGCCCGGATCTCCCCTGGGAGCTCGTTCTACCAGGTAGGAGCCGCCACCGAAAAAGCCCTGGCCCTGGTCACAGCTAGTTTAACGTCCTTAGGACCCGGGATGTCCAACAAATTTTGGGACCCCGACCGTAGTGCTCTTGGGGGAACATGTGGGGCAAGGCGGTCCCTCAGGTAGGCTGGGCCTAAAGCAGAGTTCACCCCGGAGAAACAGTTCTAAACGGCAATGAAAGTAATTTGTCAAAAGAACAGCAGAGGAAAGCCAAATAGCCCCAAAAGAAAAGGAAATAGTAGCAACCGGAGCGAGAGAGGTCCAAACAGCACAGCGGTCAGAAGAGAACTGGCGGGATTGTTGTGCCCCTCCCCTAGTCGTGCACACTGGAGCCCTGCACGTGACGGGGGAGCGGGCGCGAAAATCCTTTTGCTTTCAATTCTACCAATCGGGGTCGGTGCAGGTGCACCATATCCCAGAGGTGTGATGCACAGAGACCACGAAGAAGATGGAGACAGACATATCAGAGGCACACATGTCCCTCCCCAAAATATGCGAAACAAAAGAAATGCTTCACCTTAGCTAAAGGACCCACCCAAGAGAGAGCACTACGGCTGCACTTCTCACCAGAGGTTCTCAGGCCGAGAAGTCAGTGGTCATGAATTCCCCCTAGACCCCCTAGGCTTCTTACACAGGCACGTGCCCCCCACCTTCTCCCTCCCCACGCCGAAATATCAAGTACCTGTTCATACGTCAAGCACTGGTCTGTCAGGATTTCCAAAAGCGGGGCTGCGTTGGTATCCCGTCTCTTGAACATCTCCCGGACAATAGAGAGCAAGTTCCAAATGCCCTCCGGTTCCCTCCCTCGCAGGGGGCGCAAGAGGCAAGCCCACTCTGCAGCCGCGGGGGGTTCCGTGGAGGAGAGGTACATGGAGTTCACATCGCTGGCAGCGGGGAAAAAAGATTAAGACGTGGGAGTAAAAGGAAAACCATTTCTGAACTACCAGATGCAGACAAAGTCTTTACGGCCTTCATCTCACCCACCCTTGCCTTTAAGGAAAATCTGCATCATTGCTCCCATTTTTACCAAATAAAGAGGCACACACACCCCGCCTCACCCCTGAGCCAGTTTGGTGTAGTGGTTAAGTGCGCGGACTCTTATCTGGGAGAACCGGGTTTGATTCCCCACTCCTCCACTCGCACCTGCTGATGTGACCTTGGGTCAGTCACAAGCTCTGGCACAGCTGTCCTTGAAAAAGAGCAGTTTGTGTCAGAGCTCTCTCAGTCCCCCTCACCTCCCAGGGTGTCTGTTGTGGGGAGGGGAAGGGAAAAGAGTTTGTCAGCCGCTCTGAGACGCCAAGTGAAGGGTGGGGTATAAATCCAACCTCTTCTTCTTCTTCTTCTAACCAACCCAAACCCAGATCTCCCACGTCCACGCACACTAAGAGGTATGGCATCTTTCCCAAGAAGACCTTGAACCAAAAGAAACCATTTCTGAGCACTGTACCCACACTGTTGCTAAAGACTGGGAAGGACCAACCAGCAATTACAATCATTTTAAATGAACCCACCTGACCTGGGTAAAACAGCACCCCAAAGGCTTTGGTTGTCGTGATGACATAATTTGCCTGCGTGGCACTAAGAACCTTACCTACAAAGCAAAGTTTGGGTCCCGTGGCACCTTTAAGACCAACAAAGTTTCATTTAAGACATAAGCTTCTGTGTGCATGCACACACGGCTACCTGCCTGAACTTATCCACAAAGGTTCGTTACAAACATCTTTATTAACTGCTCACTTTCTCCAGAGCCCAGCAAACTCAGCTCAACCTCTTCTGTGGCTTTCAGACTTGCCCAGCAGCTTATCAACCAAAGAACGCTGCCGGATACGCCAGAAGACTCTCCTGCAAGCGTTAAGGGTGCACTGTAAATTCACAGGGAGCGCCAGCCAGGACCATTTGGGCCTTCTGTTTCCCTGCATAGACAACGTGTCCAGGTGACTCCGACTGCCATGCCCAGCAGAGGAATTATCAGCTGTGGTGGGCCTCTTTCAGAGAAGCTCGGCCTGCATCCCTGATCCTCTCTCTCAGAAATCCTTGACAGAAATCTGAGTGACCTTGGGATGTTCCAAGGCAGATTCTCCTTTGAAAGCCTGGAGGTTTAACTGCGTGCAATCCTTTGAGAAACAGCCCAGGTTTCCCTCTGCAGCGACTCACCCCCTCAGTCCTGCCCCCAAGGATGAGCTGCAGACTGAGGGGAAAGAATGCCTCGAGTCTCCTTCTCACCAAAATGGCAGGCGAGGGGGCAACCCTGCTCCTGCAACATACCATTTCTGATTACAGGCGGGAACTCAGATGTGCGCACATGTGCGCACGGGCTCCCTGTGTGCAAGGAGGAGGATTCCAACATGCTAGTTTTCCTTCAGGTGGGCAGCCGTGCTGGTCTGAAGCAACAGAACGATGCCTGAGTCCAGGGACACCTTTAAGACCAACAAAGTTTAATTCTGGGTATCTGAAGAAGTGTGCGCACACACGAAAGCTTATACGCAGAATTAAACTTCGTTGGTCTTAAAGGTGCCCCTGGACTCAAACGTTGCTAGTTTTCAGAGGGCAGAGGGCTGTTGGTTTTTTTTTCCAAATGGGGGTCATTCAACCATGCCCAGCCCCCCCCCCCAGCCCACACTGGCCACTTGGGAGGGCCAGGTCCCCATGCCTGGAAGCAGAACCACCCTCCACTCTCAGCCACCAAGAGCTATGCAGGCCACACTGTGCTCATCGGCTAGGCCAATTCTTGCCATCAACAAGAGAGAGAAGGCGGCGAGTACTAATTCAGCAACACCCTAGAACAGTGATGGCGAACCTTTTAGAGACCGAGTGCCCAAACTGCGACCCAAAACCCACTTATTTATCGCAAAGTGCCAACACGGCAATTTAACCTGAATACTGAGGTTTTACTTTAGAAAGAACAACCCATACATTAACTTAAGAGGATCCAAACAAAACAAGGAAAGCAATCCCAAATGCTTTCGTTTCCATAAAATTATTTGGCAGGGAATTCGACACTTTAATGACGGCCTGGGCCTGGCTGGGGCGATGGCACACGTGCCCACAGAGAGGGCTCTGGAGTGCCACCTCTGGCACCCGTGCCATAGGTTCGCCACCACTGCCCTAGAAGAGCAGCCACCGGAACTCCCACCTCTGCCCATAAAGAAGAGAAACAGCCAACAAATTCCTGGCTCAAGCGCGGCCCCAGAAGCCGTTCACGGCAGCTCGCCCACAGCAGGCTACCAAGTACGTGGCAGGACCATGGGATGGGTCGCTGGCAAGTCACGTTTGTTTGGCAGGCGTCCGCACAAGCTGTTGAGGGACGAGGAGAGAGGATTCACCTGAAGACAACAGGGGAAGGGCCACAGAACTTGTGCAGGGTCTTCTTTATGTTGTCGCTTAACGTCGATTCATCCAAGTACCAGGTGCTTTGATCTGAGGCCGAGGGGCCAGCGGTGGGATCTGGGAAGAGAGCAGGGGGAAGTCACATTCTGCCCAGAGCAGGGAGAACGTAAAGACTTGTCGAGGGAACAAGAAGGCTTAGCTTCATTCCTGAAATCAGGGCCCTGCAGGACCTTTTACAGTTCCGCAGGGCCTGTAAGACGGAGCTCTTCCGCCAGGCCTTTGAGTAGGAGCCGCCACCGCCACTACCACCAGCGTGTGACTGCAGAGCAGCTCTGCCGGGTTGGGCTGACGTGGCCCGTGGCATCCCCCTCATTGATCCCAATGTGATGTGCAATAGGGAGCGAGTATCTTAGTCGCGATGATCCTGTGAGTTGTCCACTTTTGCTTAAATTGTTTTAACCTGCATTTTATTGCACTGTGTGCCTTAATTGTTTTTAACGTGTGGTATTGTATTACATTTGTGTCTTGTAAGCCGCCCTGAGCCCGCGTGCGGGGAGGGTGGGGTATAAATGAAATAAAATAAAAAATAAATAAAATTTAAAAATGAAGCTGTTGTCCCAAACAACATTTTTCGGGGGGGGGGGGGGGTGCTACCCATTAAATGCTAGAGATACCGTGATGACGACAGCAAATGAAAGAAGCCCTCCTGTGAATACAAGTCTTTGTCTTCATATTTCCCTTCCCTTGCAAACAGTGGAGCAGAATACCACAGGGTTGATTTATTTACTTCTCTTCTCCCCAGTGGTAATCCAAAAAGGCTCACACCATTCTCCTCTCCCCCCCCATTTTATTCTCACAACAACCCTGTGAGGTAGGTCTGACTGAGAGCATGGAACTGGGCCAAAACCAACCAGCGAACATCTGTCGGCATTTGAACCCCGGATCCTCCCAGATCGTAGTCAAGTCATGCTAACACTGCAGCACAACCCTGGTTCTACAAAGAACCCTAACGGCGAGTTTTACTTCGTGTCTTGGAGTGCTACTGCTGAGACTAAACTAAAAAGAAGACCTGCCCGTGTTACCTGGGGCCCCACACACAGTGTTGATGGCCGTCGACTGAGAGGACAGCAGCTCATCCAGCAGGCGCTGAGCAGTAGGAAGGATCTAAGCAGGAGAGGGGGAAATGAATGCTTATTTAAAAAAAACAACAACACCACACAATGTATTTCCCTCCACAAAAAAAGAAAAGAACCACTGTTAAGAATTCATCTTTTGTGCTCACAAAAGTACGAGGCTGAAAGGTGTTACCTGTAGAATTTTGGCCACAGAATTTCTGCCTGGCCCATATGCAGTAACCCTGTCTGTGGAAAAGACAACTGACCGGCTGCTCTTGATGCCCCCAGCAGCAGCTGAAGGATTCCCTCCACCCCTGGATCCACTCTCCTCATTAGCCTACTGCCCATTCCCTGGGGACACCCCCAGTGGGCGACACCCAGGGGCAGAAGGCACAGGATCACTCCCACTAGGTAAGGGAAAGGGGGCTGAGACCCACTTGCTGCGAGAAAGCCACATCACTGTTTGGAAGGGAGGGAGACACTGGCACTGAAGCACACGAGGCAGAGCTCGCCCCGGCCCCAAGGGCAACAGCCCAGGTTGCATTCCGCACTTCCTTGGGCTCCTGGGTAGGCACTGTACAGAGACAGAGGACTCCACCACTTCCATTTCTAAATAGAACCTTTCAGAGGCTTGCAAAACCATACAAGGTGAGAACCAGGCTGTCACAGACACAAGCCAGTGGGGGCTGATGCAAGCCCCCCCCCCAAAAAAAAAATTCAGCACTCACAACTGAAAAGGCAGCTCAGCCAGGAGCCGTGACCTAATGCTGGGGAAATGAGAAATCCCGGCAAAAATGCCACCAGCCAAAAAGACACCTCTTTTTTCCCCCCAGCTCTCCTCTCATCTGCCTGCGTGTGCCGTTTTCTCTCGCTTCCTTCCTTTTCTCTGACATCTCTTGTTGGGGAAGAGGGTGGGTGGGAGGGTTATATGGAGTCTGTTTGCGGATACGCTTGGTAGGAAATGTGGAGAAACCCTTTTTAAAATCTTAAAACGAAAGAAACAAAACACACCGTGAGACATCTAGTTAAACTGGGTGGGGCGGGGTGGGGGGGGGAGCTATGCTGCCAGGGAAGGTGCCCATTCGGAAAGGAGGCTGGCGCTTAGACATGTTTTACATGGGGATGCCCTTAGATGGGACGGAGTTGGAGCCACATTCAGCAAGCCAGTTCTTCCCTGGCACAGGACCGGAGAGACACACTCGGCAGCCGCCCAGTCAGCGGGCTTGCTTGCTTCCCAATGCAATGCCCAGTGCTGGCTGCAATTCCCCAGCCCCCCACCCATCCACCCAATGCCTTGAGCCCCGGGATCTCTTGGACTACTGCAATACATCTGCCCACTAAAATCACCTGCTCGTGTTCACGCTGTAACTTCTGGCAGTCTGGAATATTAGCATTCCCCCGCCCCATTGTGATCCCCATGACTGCCACACGCGGCATGTAATTTTGCTGTCGGCATTCACGTTTACAAACAAAGTGGCAGGAGGGGCCCACAGCAGCACAAGAGCTTGCCATTACAATAAACACTGAGCCTAACAAGTGCCTTGGGAGCAGCTCACTCTGCCAAGACACCTGCACTTGATTGCCCATATGCCAGAACCGTTCCCTGGGTGAGGCCGATCTTGGGAAGACGGTGACGTCACGGCTCCCCCGGGCCGTTTCTGAGAGCGGCTCCCCTGGAGGGAAGGCACAGCCTGAGCACTGAGGCATATCCTTGCAGCCACTAGAAGACGACATGACGGGCCCTCCGCAAGAGCGCCCAGGATCACATCGACGCCCACACTGTGCTGCATTTCTTTACAAGGGGGGAAACGAAGAGATCACGCAAACGGGGCGTCTGCCGGACCAGGGCAGCCAGACGGAGGGTTTGGTTTGCACGGGAGGGATTGGGCTGCTGCTCCGGGCCAAGGTGCCAGCACCCACTGCCCACAACTGAACGCCCACGCCAGGACTTCACCGGAAGCTCCCCGATGCCCACGATAGGCCAAGGATGCCTACTTGCCAGTTTGGTGTAGTGGTTAAGTGCGCGGACTCTAATCTGGGAGAACCGGGCTTGATTCCCCACTCCTCCACTTGCACCTGGCTGGTGTGACGGTGGGTCAGTCACAAGCTCTGGCACAGCTACCCTTGAAAAAGAGCAGTTTCTGCCAGAGCTCTCTCAGCCCCACCCACCTCACAGGGTGTGTCTGTTGTGGGGAGGGGAAGGGAAAGGAGTTTGTAAGCCACTCTGAGACTACAAGTGAAGGGCCATGGGGTATAAAGCCAATCTCTTCTTCTTCTTCTACTGCCACTGCTGTGACTTGGGCGAGGAGGGCAAGCCCCCCGGGCAAAGGGTAATGCCGCCTGGCAGCTCGGCCCAAGGAGGAAGAGCGCGCCCCGGCAGGGCCTGCAGCTGCTGACAAACTGGCTAACAAAAACAACAGACGGCAGGAGTCCCCAGAGAGGTCACCCCAGCTCTCGAGGAATCAGAAGGAGAGGTGCCACACCTCCAGCTGCTATGATTTCTGTTCATTAGGCTTGCAGGTCCTTCTGGGAACATATGAGCACGGCTGACCACCTAATTTGAGCAGCTTTTTCCAGCCATTTGTTTCTCTAAGTAGGCTGCAACTGGCAGCAGTTTTCTGTGAGGAGCTCTGTACTTCCCAAGTGAAAAAGCCTTTCTGGTTTTTAAACCCGGTGCGGGTAAATCAAACTCCAAAATCTCAACCAGGCTGACCGACTCCTGCCCGCTTTGCCAGGTGCGCCCACTCAGAGAGAGGGCGTGCTTTGCTTCTCGGCAGCCTTTCCCTTGCCGTGGAGCAGACCACCGTACAGGGCGTAAGGGAGGCCTGTGGCCATTGCTGTACAAGGAATGAGCCCCCCCCCCCAAAAAAAAACACGGACTTGGGAAAACATTCCACCTTATCCTCGGGGCTGCCACCAAGACTACTTGAGGAGGGGGATTATTCAGCAAAGAGTCCCCTTGCAGAACCTGAGCGAAGCGTGATGGGGGTGGGGGCTCCCCCCTGCTGTAGTCTCCACTTACCTGTTGGGGGAGTTCGCTGATTAAGTACTGGGCAAATTTCTGCAGCTGATCTCTCTGCAGTCGAGACAAGGATTCTGAGACAGGGGCTCGCAAGCACACGGCAGATGCCTGGGGTGGGGGGGAGAGAAAGCAAGACCACTGCTTTAATGTCCAGCGATTAATCCCAAGACTCAATACAACTACATGTGAAAAACAAACTTCAGGAGCAGACATCTCATTTAACACAGGCAAAGACTGGAGGAGAACATCTCAGAATTACAGCAAGAAACGTTAACAGACCACAATATACACATTGGTGTTACTGGCTTTTGGGGGAATTGCGTCAAGAGGTCACTTTCATTTTTCTACCCAATCCAGTATATGTTTTCTTTGAAAAGAAGGTTTCCATGGTTCAGTGGCAGCTCCTTCCACAGAGGAGTGTGCAAGACTGCAATCACAGCATGCCAAAAGGTTAGCAACCACAAACAAGGTAAGAACTGAAGAACTACTATAACAGTTACTTTTTCCACTTCCAGCAAATTAAGCCGTTTTCAGGGAACTCTGCAACAAGTGCAGTTTCCAGTTACACGACAGTTGCCTTCAGTTGCGGCACACAACTGCTCATTTTGCTATTAGTCAGAATGCATTAGCTGAGGGGCGGGGCCTCTCATGTTGCAGTCCTAAACGTGCACCCTTCCAAGTCCACTGAAGCCAACGGGTCTCACTCTGCTCAGAAGGATGTAACTCTGCTCTGAACTGTACCATACGCAGATCAGGGAAAGGAGGCTTTGCATCAATGTACAGTCAGCCATCAAACATTTGTATATTACTTTGTTGTAAGCCACCCTCAGCCTTAGTTGCAGGGAAGGGCGGCCCAGCAAAGCCAATTTAAATAAATAAATAAACAAACATTCACACATACACCTCCTCCTAATTTTTAGATTTCAGGTTGCTCCAACCAGCCTATAGCAGGTGGCTGCTCCCAGGGAAGGAAGGGAATTGCAGGCCTCTCTCATCTAATTCTCCAAAGGGCCAGAGTGTCGTAAGTCTGGAATGTGGAGGGGTGCCCTCCCGTCTTCTGTCTTAACTCTCTGTGGCTCACCAACTGTTTGCTATCTTTTGTTTGACCTTGTAGATGCTCCAGCTGCAGCTTTACTCGGCTGGGAAAGTTAACGGCTTTTTGCTTTGCCTGCTCGCTTTGCCCGCCCGCGCGAGATGTATCCACTGGCTCATGCTTACCGGGGGGATGTTTGATTCTAGTATAAGTCAGTGGCCCTTGTATAGGCGGCCATTCCTGACACAAGCTGTACATGTGTCTCTAGTGCTGGATTTACCAATAAACAGTTATCTTCTCATGAAGCCCTGTGTTGTGTAACCTGACTAAGGACCCTGACACAGAGAAGCTGCTGCTTATTCTCCAGTGGGTGGCCGGGCCAGTGTGTAGTGTGTAGTCACAGTACAACCTCTGAATCCGGTACCTCCTTAAAGATCAATGACATTTCCCAAGAGGTAAGCTCCCGTGAATCAAAGCTCGTGAAATCTCACAGGCGTGCGCTTCGACTCACAAAAGCTCACACTGTGGGAAATTCTGTTGGTCTGGTGGGTGCAAATTTTGTTCTGCTCATTCTCAAGCTCCCACATCTTATCTACTCAAGAGTGACAAACGCTGGAAGCAGACAGTGAACTAAAAGAGCCAACAGCAGTGTTTCCATGCGGGCTTCCTATTAACTCCTACATCATACAACAGAAATGAATGGCTTTTAATTCCTTCTCTTTTTTTTTTAACAAGGTCCTTTTCTGTTTGTCATTCATTCAAGCATCTGCAACTGACTTCCTTGTTCCCCCTGGCATTTCCTCAATGGTTGCAAGGAATAGGCGTGTTGGTCTGCCACGGCACAATAAAAAGCCCAGTGGCACCTCAAAAAGACAAACAACGTTTATTTCACGAAAGCTCAAATCAGACGAAACGTGATCCGTCTTTAAGGTGCCACTGGACTGGTTTTGTTCCTACAACAATCCTTCCATCTTTTAATCTGCGGTCCTTTATTTTATTATATATGTACAAGAAGCAAGCCAGTCTATTAACATTTCATTAATCACATACAAAGCCTTCTGCTCTGATACTCACTGGCAAAATGCTCTCCAGTGCTACAACCATTGGCACAATTAATACACTGCACAAAAAGGCACAGTGCCATCCTAAGCAGAGTTACACCCTTTGAAGCTCACAAATGTCCATGGACTTAGAAGGGTGGGGGGGGCGGGCCCCGCGATACTCGCGGGGGGGAGGGGGGAGGTATTCCCTGCGGCTCCCAGGTGGCTCGGCTGCTGAAGCAGCAGGAGCTCCACACAGAGGAGGACGCAGCAGTGACTGTAGGTCAGCCCAACAGGCGGTCCGTTGGGCTCGCCAGAATTTCCCCCACCCACCCGACGACAGAAGCAATGGCTGCAGCTAGCCACCAGCCCTCCAAGGTTTCCCCCCGCCCCCAGCCACCTCGGCCGCGCGCAGCAAAGGCGGCGAGCCCTGTACGGTTCTTCTCCCTCCCCCGCTGCTGCCAGCAGCGACGTCAATGGCCCCCTCAGCAATGGCTGCGGCGCCCAGCCGCCGGCTGCTAAGGCTTCTCTTCCTGCGCCACTGCCACCAGCAGCCACAGTTCCTGTTGGTAAGTGCTTTCTCTGCACATGCGCAGGGAAGGCGCTTTTACTTTTTGGGGGGATTTAAATATCCCCCGTATACTTTTTTCAACTTTTTAGATTTTTCTGCACATCTGGGGATTGCCTCAAATGTGCAGGAAAATCACCCTGGCCCCCAGGTGCCCCCGATGTGCAGATTTAGATATCCGCACGCTGGGGGGTGCCTTGGGAATTAGATATACAGATTTCAGCACTGCTTTTAATTGGTTTTATGATGTAGTTTGTTATGCTGTTTTGATCGCTGGCCGCCTCGGAAACCCAGACTGAGCGGAGTGCCAGGATACAAACATTTTAAATGAACACGTTAATAACTGAACCGTGCGTGTTCCTCTGCTCTTGTCAACCATCTATCTTCAAATCCCTCATTTGATTTCTGTAAGCTTCTCAACAATCCGCCAAGGAAAGTGATTATCCCAAACTCCAAGATCAGGGATGCAATTTGTATCGCGTATCTTGGCCGAGCACTGATTGGGCTCTGAAGAGAAGGTTTTCCTTTCCAAGGGGAAGAGACGGCTCCACGGAAAAGGTGGAGTGATTTCATTCCTTTACCTTCGCCACTTGCCAAACATACCTCAGGCATTAAAGAAAACAAAAGTGTGATTTTTGTTTTGTTTTGTTCATTTTTACAGGATTTTCAGATGGACACCCGTTATTTTCTTTGCTACAACACAGGCAACAATGCCTCATGTCCAGATATGCACAGCCCTTCCCTCCGTGTTCATATGTTCCCTTCTCATAAGAACATAAGAACATAAGAACATAAGAGACGCCAATGTTGGATCAGGCCAAAGGCCCATCCAGTCCAACACTCTGTGTTCTCATAACGTAAATTCCAAGTTTAACAGCTGGCAAATACAGCTACACACCTTATCACCAGGGTTACTCTAGAAACCATTTCCCTGCTCATCCATTAACTCAGTAGGCAGCCTGAGGCCAGCTCCATTCCCTCTACTTGCAATACGGAGCCCATACCTGCGGCCTGCCTCATCAGGCTGCTTTAAGGACTGCCAAGGGGCCCGTAGACCATTTTCAGTGCTCAGAGAATTGTTCTGCCTCCTTTTCGCAGCTCTCACTGGCAGTTGCGGTTCATACCTATGCCTAGCAGCTTCTTACGGGCCTAGGACAGTTCCTTCTTTCCTTCCTTCCTGTCTCCCTCCCTCCCTCCCCTCCTAGGACCCTTTCCAGCCAGCTAACCTGGCAGTCCAGCTACCACACTGCAAACCCCCACAACACCACCAATCCAAATTCTAGGTCTTAACCAAGAAAGCATTTCAGAACAATGAAGAAAAGGGGGGCTTGGAACTGCCTAGCGCTGAATAGTCCCCGGTCTGTTCAGATAAAACAGGAATGCCAGACAACTATCCCTTACGAGAGTCCATCTGGATTTTAGCCTCACATACAGTTGTGCCACAAGCTTTCTGGGAGCTTGTTTTCCTCTTGCTACCCAGCAATGCATACGGTCAAGCTTGTGGGGCATCGTTCAGCCAAAACACATCTTCACGGTGTTGTGCCCATACATGCACAAGCTCCCCTCCCTCCCTCTCTCTCTGTTTCTGCTTCTAGGAAATGCAGCTCTCAGGATCCTATCAAGTGCTCTGGAAACTATTCCCAAGAACGCTGCAGTGGAGGAAGAAAAGGGAGGGGAGACCCTGCAAGCAGCCTCCTGCTGCCACCTCACTGCCCCCCCCCGGAAGATGAGCGGGGGCAGGGCAGGAGAAGTTTGACCATCTGAGCTAGAAAGGAAGTGGGCAGCTGGGAATCGCATTGTGTGCTCTGAGCCAAAACGTAAGCTGGATCAGTTTGTTTCAGTCAGTCAGATTCCGTAACAAAGGGAACTTCCCCAAAAGGAAGAGAAAAAGGACTTAACACACACCCCCACACTGAATCAAGAACCAGAAAGGTTAGTTACAAACAAATTATACGGCCAATTACTAAAAACAATACGTATAACCTGAATATTATCAAAAATACATTGGACTTAGTGAAAGACCTTCCACGTTACAAGAAGTTTGTTTTTGTGCCTGAAAAGCAAACTGTGGTTTGAGGTGTTCTCTACAAACCAAGATTCCAAACTAGGATTAATCCATGGTTTGGAATTGCAATTTGACCGGAAAGGCACAAGCCAGAGTCTGTGAATCAGTTTATCACGGCGGATCAAGTCTTTCCTTAGCTCCCGCACAAATACAGGGAGCACGGAAGTCCAGGGACCCACCCGTGCCGTCCTCACAGCAACTGCACATAGTTCTTGCATCTGGGATGATGCTTCTAAAGACGTACCTGAAGCCCATCCCACTGAAATCCAAAGCCTCCCCAAAATTGCTTCTCTCTTTGAAAGCTGAGCTATGAAGGTTTCAAATCAATCAACCCAAAGAATCATGAAACTTGTTCCCTGAGCCAAGGGACTCAGCAGGCCCACAACGCCACTGAGGGATGCTTCAAAAGCCGTTTCTGATCCGGCATGGGAGTCAGGCGTGCAAAGGCAGGGGAAGCGAGAAACTCTGGTGAGCTGGCACAAGCCCTCTCTGGCACCCACCCTTCCTTTCTCGTTTTCCTAGCCACGTGAAGCGAAAACAGCCATTTCCCCTCATTGCTGCGTCCATTAATGTGCTCTAGTGAGGCATCAGGATGTTCAGAAGAAAATGCAACATGGATTTCTGCAGCTTTCCCAGGAAATAGTGAAAGAGATAAGTGTGATACGGGCTAGTGAAGCACAGTACACTTTCTCTGCTCTAAGTATGAGCCAGTCAAGGATGGCTCCACATACCCAGAGGTCATTTCGGGGGGGATCGCAGTTCCCCCGGGTGAGGTACGGGGGGCGGGACACATGACGAAGCCCCGCCCCATGCTTCTGGCCGCCCCGCTTCCGGCCCTCATTCAGCCAGGAGGAGGCAGGAGAAGAGGGAGCGTAAGTTGCTTCCTCCCTGCCTCTCCCCACCCCTGCCGGCCTGGGGCCAGGGAGGGCCTTGGCGGGGCTTCCTCGCACTCCCGCCGGCCTTGCAGGTCCACCGCCGGGCCCCTCATGGGGCTCGCATATGCTAATGAGTTATGCTAATGAGTTCCCCTAGCTCTTTTTCTACGAAATGACCCCTGCACATACCCTTAACATAAAGGGCCGGTGACATAATACCCACAAGTCACATTCTGTGCACACTGACACAACAAGCAGAATGACAAACAGATAAACAAAGAGCTCTGTGGGAGAAGCAGCAAGAAGTCATAACCGGGGGGGGGGGCCTACATTGTGTATCCGGAAGAGACAGAGGGCGACCACGTGAGCACACCACTTGGCCCCGGCTCCACAGGTGCAACTGCAGGATGTGATTCTGCATCTGTCAAACATCACCGCCACGTTGTACGCTCCTTTCGGGGGGACCATCTGGGGAGGCACCACTGTGGCACTCAGGTGGAAACCTGTTGGGAGAACAGGCTGAAGGTTATTCTGTGGTAGAGATCTTACACCCCGCACACACACAAAATACACACTGCAGCCAACACGCGATCAGTCACAAGCCAGGTACCTCGACATCTGCCAATAATGGCCTCTCTTCCATTTCAACCAAAATCTCAAGCACCAGGAAGACATATGGGCCACCACACCGTGTGAACAAATACCCACTGTTGACTTACGATTTAAAGAAAGGGGTTTTCAACGGTAAAGATCTGTATTTGCACTGAGATCCATTTGGCATTTAATTGAAACAAAACCACTTCCCACCGACATCCATTAAATTACCCAGATCTCTGAGTACTTTACAGTCAGGCACATTAATAACTCTGCTAGTTTACAGATTTTTTTTGGGGGGGGGGGGTTGCAGTCGAAAAAGACAAATCCATGGCTGAAATATGACCCCAGCCCAACTCACATCCAAGCCTTCCCAAGAGGCAGAGGTCTTCCATCCCCTATCTAATGAGGCTCTCTGAGCAGTTCAGTTATATGCTAAGCTATGAAACTACTGCAGCGGGCATTCATTGCTCTAAGAATATGAGTTTCCTTCAGATGGCATAGCTTGAAAAAGGGGCAACATTGGGGGGGACGACCAAGTAAGTGTAATACTCAGGTTCACAAGTTTACATGTACTGTATTAGACTAGTCTGAAAGTTTTTATGTTTGGTTTATAAAATTGTTTTTACACTCCTGCCATTGGGCCTGAGATGCTTAAGAGAAAGGCAGGCACATAAATATTTTAAATAAATATGGTGTCAGTAAGATAAAACTCGAATGGAGCTGCGGTGGCTCAAGTGGTTAAGATGCTGAACTGCAGGCTGTGGAAGGTTGGTAGTTCAGCAGTTCGAGACCTGGGTGCCGCAAGACAGAGTGAGCTCTTGTCTCTAGTTCCAGCTCCTGCCAACCTAGCAGTTCGAAAGCAAGAAATTGCAAGTAGATAAATAGGGACCACTTCGGTGGGAAGGTAACAGCGTTCCGTGCACCTTGGTGTTTAGTCATGCCAGCCATGTGACCACGGAAACGTCTTTGGACAGCGCTGGCTCTTCGGCTTGGAAACGGAGATGAGCACCGCAACCCTAGAGTCGGACTCGACTGGCTTTCGAGCAAGGGAACCTTTACCTTTTAAGATAAAACTCACAGGGCCATTTGCCTCATAAGGTCTCTGTTAGGAAGTGCCTGAAGCAGGGATGTATTTGGACCATTTTGTTATTTTATTTTTATGTTAATTCAATGGCTCAAGCATTTACTAGCCCCAGTTATTTATTTATTTATTTATTTATTTCATGAGACTTCTAGCCCGCCTTCCCCACATTGTAGGCTCAGGACAGCTAACAGCATATATGTATCTGCAGTTAATGCAGATTTACAATATTAAAAACATTATTACAACACTTATATCCCACCTTTCTGCCCTTACAAGGGCTGCCAAGGCAGCTAACTATTTAAAACAGGCAAGATAAAACTGCATTATAAAACCATTCAAATCCACACCCCCATACACACACACACACCACCTTCCTAGACTAGCAAACAGGCCCCTTCCCATTCCATGATATGCAAATGACACAGATCTAGTTTCTCCCTCTGTATACTATAACGCAAAACAGTTAACAGTAAATTTTCAGAAGGCCAAAATCCTTAACTTTACCAAAAAAACTTTGTTAAACATGGATGGCAGATTGGCAACCATGACACTGAGCAGATAAAGTTTTCCAAACGTCTAGGCATAGTTTTCCAGTCATCCAGTTTGTGGAAAGCTTGGGTGGCCCACCTACTTAGACTTCCCACCCCGAGATTCTTGTTCACGAAAGGGGGCCCACATATTCCTTATGTGATCAAAGTCTTCCAGGGCAAGCTGGTTCCCCAGCTCACGCATGGGTCACACAACCACATTTATACAATGATTTCTGTTCCCTGGAGGCAACACAATGCATATTTGGGGCCCTGCCCTTCTTGGATTAGAGCCAGGGATGGTGCTGCTTGAAGGGTACTAAAAGAACTTGCGGATGTAATTTCTGAGCCTCTGGTCATTATTTTTGAGAATTCTTGGAAAACAGGTGAGGTGCCAGAAGATTGGAGGTGGGCAAATGTTGTCCCCATCTTCAAGAAGGGGGGAAAGCAGGAGCCCAACCCGTCAGCTTGACGTCTATACCCGGGAAAGTTTTAGAACAAATAATCAAACAGACAGTCCTTCAACATTTAGAAAGGATGGCTATGAGAGCCAGCATGGGTTTCTCAAGAACAGGTCATGTCAGACTAACCTTATCTCTTTTTTTGAGAAAGTTACTACCTAGCTGGATCAGGGGAATGGTGTAGACGTAGTTTATCTTGATTTCTGTAAGGCTATTGATAAGGTTCCACATAATATTCTTGTTGACAAATTGGGAAAATGTGGCTTGGATCCTATGACTGTTAAGTGGATCTGTAACTGGCTGATAGATCACACCCAAAGAGTGCTTGTGAATGGTTCCTCATCCTCCTGGGGAGGAGTGACAAGTGAAGTGCCTCAAGGATCTGTCCTGGGACCAGTTTTGTTCAACATCTTTATCAATGCTTTGGATGCAGGAACAGAGGGAATGCTTATTAAATTTGCAGATGACACTACATTAGGCATACAGCAGGGGTCACTGGGGGTGGGGGTTTCCTGCATTGTTCAGGGTTCCCTGGAGGTCCCTTCCAACACTAGGATTCTAAGCACGGGGCTGGGGTCAAGGAATATGCTTTTGGCTCAAATTAAACTCTTCTGGATTAATTTAATCAATTCTTTCATATATTTCCCACTCATGCTAGGTGAAACCTACTAAGGATAAACTACATTTCTATGGGTTTATGCCCCAGGCCCTGTGCCACCTTGGATTTATGGGAGCCAAAGATACAATTAGACAGTGAATCTGGGATATTGTCCTTCAAGTAGACAGAGCCTGGGCACAGTCTGACCCAACAGCAAGGAACCTAGGAAAAAGCTTTGCTCAAGCAGACCATCTGTATGTTGCAGAATTCCCTAAATCCCCAAGAGCCTTCACCTTGGTCCGCTTTAATGCTTCACCATCAGCTCTTCAGGAAGGAAGATATGCGCACCTCCCTTAATCTCCATGTGTTTGCCCCTGCCAAACAGACACGGTCGAAACTGTCAACCATGGGTTATCGTATTGCCCTATGTGCAGTGATATTTGGTCTCTATAAGTGAAGAGGACCTAAAGAGCCTCTTGCTCATAGTGAAAGAGGAGAGTGCAAAAGTGGGCTTGAAGCTCAACATCAAAAAAACTAAGATCATGGCATCCGGCCCCATCACTCCTCAGCAAATAGAAGGGGAAGTCGTGGAAGTAGTGACAGACTTCATGTTCCTGGGATCCCAGATCACCGCAGACTGACAGCAGCCATGAAATTAAAAGACGCCTGCTCCTTGGGAGGAAAGCGATGGCGAACCTAAACAGCATGATAAAAAGTAGAGACATCACCCTGCCAACAAAAGTCCGCATGGTCAAAGCAATGGTATTCCCAGTAGTCATGTATGGCTGCGAGAGTTGGACTATAAGGAAGGCCGAGCGCCGAAGAATAGATTCCTTTGAAGTATGGTGCTGGAGAAGAGTCCCTTGAGAGTCCCTTGGACTGCAAGGAGATCAAATCAATCAAATCCTAAAAGAAATCAACCCTGACTGATCCCTGGAAGGCCAGAGGCTGAAGCTGAAGCTCAAATACTTTGGCCACCCAATGAGAAGGGAGCACTCACTGGAGAAGACCCTGATACTGGGAAAGACTGAAGGTCAGAGGAGACGGGGACAGCAAAGGAGGAGATGGTTAGACAGTGTCATCGATGCAACGAACATGAAGTTGAGTAAACTTCAGAGGACGGCGGAAGACCGGAAGGCCTGGCGTGATCTGGTCCATGGGGTTGCGGAGAGTCGGACTCGACTGTGCGACTGAACAACAAAAAAGCTGGTTAAGTCTTTTTTAATTAATTATGTCTGTTCTATTGAAATCAGCCTATTAGGTGGCCTTGAAATTTCATTGTATGTTGATGTGCTGATGACTCTGTCCGTCTGTCAATTGTGGCTAATGTGTGATCATACGAAATAAAGATAAAATAAATGGAATAAAGTATTCCCATGGTACACTGCTGTCCACTGAAGAAGAGAGCAAGCCTACAATGTGAGGTAGTGAAGAAGACTAAGTATCTCAGTATAGACTTGACGATGAGAAATACTGACCTCTTTAAAAATAACTATGAGAAGTTATGGGCCAAAATATTGCAGGACTTTAAGAAATGGGACAACATGAACTTATCTTTATTGGGAAGAATTTCTGTGGTAAAAATGAATGTTTTACCACGGTTGATGTTCTTGTTTCAAACCATCCCGATACTGAAAGAAACTGAGGTCCTGAATAGATGGCAACGAGAACTGTCAAAATTTGTTTGGGCAGGGAGAAAACCAAGAATTAAAATGAAAATATTATGTGATGCCAAGGAAAGAGGAGGTCTGCAACTACCAAACCTGCGATTATATTATGAGGCGGTTTGTCTGACTTGGTTGGAACAATGGGTTAACTTAGACAATAAAAAACTATTAGCTTTGGAAGGACATGATTGCAGGTTTGGGTGGCATTCATATTTATGGTACGAAAAGACTAAGATGGACAAATTTTTTAAACATCATTTCGTAAGAAGAGCGTTATTTGGAGTATGGATGAGGTATAAAAGATTTTTTTATGATCCACGACCGCTTTGGATTGTACCAGCAGAAGTTATTACACAGTATACGAGACAGAGAGGAGAAGAGTTGTTGCCATATAGAGACTTGATAAAAAAGGTAGGGTCAGAATGGGTAATGAAAGAACAAGATGAGATTCAATTTAAATATGTTTGGTTGGGGTACTTACAGATTCGAGATCTATTTAGAACAGATAAGAAAAAGTA